GTGGGCTTACTATTAGAATAATGTTTAGAAATGAAAGGGAAACAGACATGTCTAAAAAAACATTAACCTGTAATATAGAAACCTCACAGGTGCGATTGAATGGTTCAGGTATCAGATTTTGCATGGGAAAACCCAGCTTCAAATCTCCGTTCAACCAGGAAGCACGCTAGATAACTTAAGGTTAGTTTGTTTTGGCTCAATCAGCTCAAGTTTCTTTTTGTAGGGGCAAAATGAAACGATAACTGACATGCAGGGGCCCTTGGTGCTTTCTAAGCCTGGTAGTTTTCTTGCAGATATTTCCTTACCCAAACTAGGTAACAGCATCAGTGAAAGTAGGGAATCGTTGCTTCCTACAAGCACTGATGATGTTACCTACTTTGGGCAATGAAATGTCTCCAAGAAAACAACCCAGTTCAGAAAGCACCAGTTCCCTTTATTTCAGTTCTGAGCTACGAATATTCTCCTCTGTATCTGACATATGTCATCTTGAGGTCCCTGAGAAAATATGGAATATAAATTTAGTTTGGGAAAAAAGACTGAAGGAATACATGATAGCCATATTCAGCTACATTAAAGGAAGGTGTAGAGTAGATAGTCAGCAGCAATTTTCCATGGGCTAAGTAACTAGGACCAAAAATACTACGTATAATTTGCAGCTACCATCATTTCATTTAAAAATAAGGAAAAACTCTCCATCAGTAAATAAGATCTATCCCACAGTGGAACAATCTACCTGTGCAGGTGGGTGGGGTTCTTCAACTTTGATCATTCTTAAGAAGCTAGACACCACCTCTCCCTGATATTTTACTTGGTTTTCCTACACAGAGGTTGGATTAGATATTGTGCTCTCTTACAACCATATACTTCTAGGATTCTACAGTAAATAAAAAAATGCTTGCATTGATAGGGTGACTACAGCCCAGTGTGTTTGCAGATCTCCCACTGCCTTGAAAAAGACAAAACTGATATGATTAGGAACATCCCATAATAGTTGTGGGAGACGGGAGGGGAGCAGAGTACAAGCTTAGTTTACAGTTTGCCTTTTCAAAGAGGCTGTGACTTCTTCTTCTTCTTGTGCCATATCCATCATTGGATGTTGACAATCATGTTGGCGATCCTATTTTTATCAACAGCCACATGAAAAAGTGCTGCTGAGTTTTGTCCAAACCAGTCCCTTAGATTTTGAAGCCATGATGTTCTTCTTCTGCCTGGACCTCATTTGCCTTCAATCTTTCCCTGGAGGATTAAGTGAAGTATGGCGTATTTTTCCGGGTGTCGTATCACATGTCGAAAATATTCAAACTTTTGCTTTTTAATGGTTTTGATGATTTCCCTTTGCTTTCCCAGGTGGCTTATCACCTCCTCATTTCTGGTCCTCATCCCTTTTGTGACTGGGCATCTCCAATGTTGCATCCACTATCTTGGGAATTAATACATACCTTCAAATGGTTCCCATTTCAGAAAATTTACTTAACATTCTACAGGAGTCCATCAGTCCAAAAATGGTTAGCCACTTGATAGAGTACCATATTTTCTGGCGTATAAAACGACTGGGCGTATAAGACGATCCCCGACTTATATATAGGGTTTAGGCTACACTCGCCATATAAGACTACCCCTCTTCCAACGCACACCAAATAAAAATTAAAAAACATCAACTGGCTCACCCACAATGTAAAAGCAGCTGTGCTAGACCCAAAATGGCCCCTGCAACAAGCAGGAACCTCACACAGCCACAAAAAGCCCAAAAAAACAACTTTCACACTTTACACACACACAACACTACTGGCTCACCCACAACGTAAAAGCAGCTGTGCTAGACCCAAAATGGTGCCTGCAACAAGCAGGAACCTCATACAGCCACAAAAAGCCCAAAAAAACAACTTTCACACTTTACACACACACAACACAACTGGCTCACCCACAATGTAAAAGCAGCTGTGCTAGACCCAAAAATGGCCCCTGCAACAAGCAGAAACCTCACACAGACACAAAAAGCCCAAAACCCCAACTTTCACACTTTACACACACAAAATTCCACATACAGCTTTGTGAGATTTTGTGTATTTGTGTAGTTAAAGTGAAACACTACAGAAACACACTAAATCTCAGAAAGCTGCACAAATATTATTTTATTTTATTTTTATTTTTATATGAAAGCTAAATTTAAAACTTCCTAAACTTTAAATGGCTAGGTCTAAAAAAAGAACAACTAAAAAAAACCCCAATTAACTATTTTTTTAAAGCTCCCAAAGGGGAAAAAAACTTACCCAATAGAACAGGGGTCTCCAACCTTGGCAACTTTAAGACTTGTAGACTTCAACTCCCAGAATTCCTCAGCCAGCTTTGCTTTGCTGGCTGAGGAATTCTGGGAGTTGAAGTCCACAACTCCCTGCCTGCTTGATTGCAGGCAGGGAGTTGCTTGCTGATGGAATGGATTGCAGGCAAGCAAAGCAAGGCAAGGCAAGCAGCTAAGGTAAGCAAGCTGGAGGGGGAAAACTTTTTTCCTTTTACATGGCTCTGGCGATCCAAGATGAGTTGCCTGATTAGCAGGCAACTCAGCTGGGATCGTCAGAGCTTGGATTGCCAGAGCCATGTAAAAGAAAAAAAGTTTTTTCCTTTTAAATGGCTCTGGCGATCCCAGCTGAGTTGCCTGATTAGCAGGCAACTCAGCTGGGATGGTCAGAGCTTGGCTCATCAGAGCCTTTCGGGCTGGTCTGCCTGGTTACAGGAGAACGACACCCGGCGTATAAGATGACCCCTGACTTTTGAGAAGATTTTCATGTGTTAAAAAGTCGTCTTATACGCCGGACAATACGGTACCTATCCTGCCAGAGGAAAATGTAAGATTTACTTGCCGAGATCTTCATGCAGCAGGCAGGAAAAAAAATTGTTTTTGATCAATCACTAACAATTGGCTGTATTTACACAACTCACTTTACCTGCTGACTGAATTCACATGGCTACTGAATTAACTCATTTTCTGAATTGGCCTAGGACAGTGTTGACAAACCTTTTCAGCATCGAGTGCCAAAATGGGGGGAGTGCGCGTGTGTGCACGCATGCCGGAAACCGGAGGAGCAGCAGCCCCGGAAGAGCAGGTGCGCATTTGCTCACTGGGAAGATGATCTTCCGGTTTCTGGCACACATGCGTGCGCAAATACCAACTGGTCCGGAAACTGGAAGATCATCTTCCTGGCATGCACATGCGCACTGGGCAGCTGCTCTTCTGGTTTCTGGTGCTCCCATGCGTGTGAAGACCAGCTAGTTGGTGTGCCGCAACCCAGAAGAGCAACCCATCATGGGCCTAGGACATTGAAATATAAATTAACTTCAAAGGCTGAGTTTCCACAACCCACCAAGTCACAAAACTGTCCTAAAACAAAATTAAATGGTGTAATCAAAGGTACCCCGATAATGCTGAACACCACCCCTTATCCCCAAAAGGCAACAAATAGCTCATTAGATGAAGCATTTAAGCAAGTAGAAGCAATGCTGGGCTTTTATCTGCCTTTTGCATACAGTATCCCTACAAGGCTTTCGTGGTTATAAGGTTGAGGTTTAAAGAGCTTGCAGACACTTTCTGAAATATCGTTCATAATCTAATTTGCAAATGCTCAGATGGCCATTAGAGGGCAACAGAGATGTACAAGAAATCCTAGGTTTCTACCACCATTGAGTGGTCATCCAGAGTTTTGCAGCCTGCAAATGATAATTCTAACTGAGAGCGATGTGTATCTTTATTGTGTAACAATTTAAATAGCCTTCAGGAAAAAAATGCCTTGTTTCTATCTTAATCTACAAGGTATTGGGGAGTGCTATGTGCATAAACATCTATATTTACATATTTATTTGTTTTCTACCATGATTTTGTATATATGGCATATATTTTTCTCCTATTTTCTCTAGGTCAGCGACCAAGGAAAATTGGCTGAGGCTGAGACAGATTGGCCCAAAGTCACCCAACTTTTTCCATACAAAAGGAAGACTAAAATTGACAGTCTCCCACTTTATAGTCCAAACTGGTGCTCTTTCTATTTCTCTGTCATCTATCGATCTATCCCATTTCCTTTGGCCATGTCGTGCAGGGCAATTCACTGGATAAAGCAATTATGTTTGGAAAAGTTAGCAGTAAAAGGAAAACAGGCCATCAAAGAACACAGTGGCTGGACATCATCAAAATTGACACAGCCAGAGCAGAAAAAAACTCAAAGAAATAGTGCAAGATCAGAAGATGTGGAGAGACCTTGGCCATAGAATCACCAAGAGTTGGGCTCAACTGAATGGATAACATCTATCTATCTATCTATCTATCTATCTATCTATCTATCTATCTATCTATCTATCTATCTATCTATCTTCTATCTATCTATCTATCTATCTATCTATCTATCTATCTATCTATCTCTATCATCTATCTATCTATCTATCTATCTATCTGTCTATCTATCTATCTATCTATCATCTAATTTGAAAATCAAAGAGAAGGGCATATCAGCTGCCTCAGTTGAGAGTTTAAGACGTTTTCTGGCCATGATAATTGGACAGAAGGATTCCATCTGCTTTGGTATTGTTATTATGGTCTTTTCAGTAAATCTTATGTACTTATGTACCAGCATGAAGTCACATAGTTCTGTTACCTTCTCACCGAAGTGGCACCCATTTTTCCACTTGCATGTGCATGCTTTCGAACTGCTAGGTTGGCAGGAAGTAGGGTGAAAACGGGAGCTCACGCCATTTTGCGGTGCTTTGGTTTTGAACCTGGGCAGTGAGTTTTCCAGCTCAGTGGTCTTAACCACTGAGCCATCATGCCACCTCTTCTGTTTCAAAATTCCTCCAGTCCTTTATGATTCCCCAGAAATTGCCATTCTTTTGCTTTTCTGAGAAGTTAGTCTAAAACTCCTCCCATACTGCACAAACATTAATCTGCAGGAAATGATGTGGGTTATAGTCCAAAATCATTGGCAAGCACAGTGTTAGTTAATGAAGTCAGATTTTTTTTTCGGTAATCTGAATTAATGTTTCTGTTTCAAGAACAAGGAAGTGGGCTTTCTATGTTTCATCTTATGCCACAAGATATTTTCTCTTGGCCCAAATCAAACAAAGTTTTTTTTTTAAAGTCCTATCTTATTCATTCATGTCCACACCTATTGATCCAAGGAGTATAAAAGCTTAGATCATTTAGCAAAACAGGGTGGAGAATCATCTGAAGAAGAACAGAGCAGGTGAGGATTGTCCTCCTTAGCACTTACCTTGTGGCTGATGGGAAGGCGATGGATTTGCCAATGAGAAACTGATCTCCCTTTCTTTTTCTAGTTGATTGTTGATCTTGATCTCTCCTTTCTCTTTCCAGTTGATTGTTGATCTGCTTCTCAATAGCATTTTGGGTTCTTTATGGAGTTAGGAAAGTGAAAAATGATATTTGAACAGAGCAGAATATCAGAGTTGGAAGATCTTAGAGGTCTTCTAGTCCAATCTCCTATTCAACCAGGAGACCCTATTCCATTTCAGACAAATGGTGGTTCAATCTCTTTTAAAAACCTCCAGTGATGGAACATCCACAACTTCTGAAGGCAAGCTCTTCCATTGATTAATTGTTCTGTCAGGAAATTTCTCCTTATTTCTAGGTTGGATCTCTCCTTGATGTATTTCCATCCATTGCTTCAGGTGCTTTGGAGAATAGGTTGACTCCTTCCTTTTTGTGGCAGCCCCTTAGATATTGGAAGACTGCTATCATGTCACCCCTACTGCTTTCGGATCATTTAATCCAGAATGATTAGTGTTAACACCTCAACATCTCCCCAAGGACACTTTGGTTCTCTTAATTTATTTAATTCACCATGTTGGCTCTCCCATTTAGTCCAGAACAATTTAGTTAAACAAGCTAATAAGGTTTGGATTGGGATTTGTTTTTGGAATAATTCTGACATTCAGAGGCAGGATGGGGCATGGCAAACCTGTGGCTGTAATGGTGCCCATAGACTATCTGGGAAAAACTTTTGCTGATGACGTTCTGACTTTCCCCAGAGGTGGTGACCCTTTGAGAGCTGTATGCCACGAAATTTCATTTTAATGTATGCCGATTAATGTACATTCAAAATGACAAATAAAGTTACTCTATTCTCTACCTCCGTGATGGCGAACCTATGGCATGCGTGCCAGAGGTGGCACGCAGCGCCCTCTCTGTGGGCATGCAAATCGTCCCCCCAGTTCAGCTCTGCCACGCATGCGCGGGTGCCTTCCACCGGCCAGTTGGTCTTCGGGTCTCTGCCACACATGCGCAGGGAGTGGGGCATGTGTGGGGAGGGCACACATGCATGCGCAGGGGTGGGGCACGTGCACGGGCACGCACATGCATTGCACGGGCACGCACATGCATTGCATTTTGGGGGTGCGCGCACGTGCCTTGGGCATTCGGTCTGGAAAAGGTTAGCCATCATTGCTCTACCTGATTGAGATTTGACTTTATACAGATAGTATTCTGACTCGGGAGAACAAGGGTGGATAGATGTGAGGCACAGACGGATAGAACTTAAGCCATTTAATCAGTAACAGCAGTATACTAACAGGCAACAGGGAAACTGGCAACAACAACAGAACAGAACAGCTGCTATTTATATAGCAGCTGTCAAACAGGCCGACCAATAGCGGGCGTCCATTTTCCCGCCGGCAGAACTGTCATGCTTCAGCCAATGGGAGGCGTTTCCTTATTACTATGCTCCGGCATGGCAGAATATACAACAGGTAGTCCTCAACTTACAACAGTTCGTTCAGTGAAGTTATAACGGAACTGAAAAAAAGCAACATGGCTATTTTTCACACGACCATTGCAGTACCCTCATGGTCACGTGATTAAAATTCAGATGCTTGGCAACTGACTCATATTTATGACGGTTACAGTATCCCACAGTCATGTGATCCCCTTTTCCAACCTTCTGACAAGCAAAGTCAAGGGGGAAGCCAGATTCACTTCACAACTGTGTTACTGACTTAACAACTGCAGTGATTCACTTAACAACTGCAGCAAGCACTGTCATCAAATAGGGCAAAACTCACTTAACAACTGTCTCGCTTAGCAACAGAAATGTTGGGCTCAATTGTGGTTGTAAGTCGAGGACAACCTGAGCTCAGATTTCTGATCTCTCTATCTCCATATGGTCGACTCTGACTGATAACATCTCTCAAATCTTTCAGGAAGGGAAAATCCCTCTTCCTGACTGTCATCGTTGCCTTGTTTCCCTCTGATCCAGGATAACGAATCCAATGTCTTTCATTTTCAAATGAAGCAAATCCTTCCACTTTAACAGAACTTTCCCATAACCTGGATGTCGTCCAGATATGCGAGGATCATTAAAATCCAAAAATCTAAATCAGTTGGAAGTTCTTGGAACTGGTCCATACATCTGGAAGATCCTAGTTTAAGAAGTCTACAGAGTCTGACCACTGATTCCTTTAAGTGATGCTCAGAGGTCAACAGATAGATATCCTAATCCTGTTAGTTGGGAAATGTTGAACTGCAATTGTTAGAAACTGAACATAGGACTTTTGAAAAATATTCCTTTTCCATGGAGTTTATGTCTTATTATGTAAAAAGTTGACTTGGAGATCCAAAGTGTCAGGAATGCTTCTTGTGGGTGTATTTCTGATGTCCTATTGCTTCCTCTTTAATTGAATATACTATTTAAAATTTAGAATAGATTAGAGCTGGAAGGGACCTTGGAGGTCTTTTAGTCCAGCCCTCTGCTGAAGCAGGAGAACCTATTTCAGATAAGTGACTGTCTAGTCTCTTCTTAAAAATCTCCAGTGATGGAGCGCCCACGATTTCTGAAGGCAAGCTGTTTCACTGGTTAATTGTCCTCATTGTTAGGAAGTTTCTCCTTAATTCCAGGTTGCTTCTCTCCTTGATTAGTTTCTATCCATTGTTTCTTCTCCTGCCCTCTGGTGCTTTGGAGAATAATTTGACCCCCTCTTCCTTCTGGCAGCCCTCAAATACTGCTATCATGTCATCCAGTGGTGGGTTGCTACTGTTTCGCCCCGGATCGTGCGAACTGGTAGCGGTGGCGGGAGGTGCCAGCCACCCACCCACCCACCCAGATGCTTCTGCACAGAAGCGTTTGGCGCACACACAAGCATGCATGCACCCATGAGCAAACTGGTAGCGACAGGTTTTGAACCCTGGCCCTGATGTCACCCCTAATTCTTCTTTTCTTTAGACTAGTCAAACCCAGATCCTGCAGCCGTTCTTCATGTGTTTTAGTCTCCAGGTCTTTGATCATCTTAGTTGCTTTTCTCTGAACTTTTTCCAAAGTCTCAACATCTTTTTTGGAGTATGGTGACAAAAGTTTTTCAGATCATATTCTGCATCTTGGGATAAGTTTATAATAGTCATACACCAATGGCAAATATTGAATTTCTCTCATGGCACGAGATGTGGAAATTATGTCCAAGAAAATCAGGAAACAGAATTAGAACAGGATACTCCAACACTGGAGATTTTAAAGAGGAAATTGGACAACCATTTGTCTGAAATGGTATAGGACAGTGATGGCTAACCTTTTTTCCATTGTGTGCCAAAAGCGGGGGTAGGGCGGGGGGGGTCACGTGCGTGCGTGCCCACACCCATAATTCAATGTGCCCCTCCCCCCGTTCATGTGTGCGCAACCCCCCGTTCTCCCCCCACTTTTGGCATGTGATGGCACAGTGAGCCCGGTAGGCCCGTTTTTTGCCCTCCCCAGGCTCCAAAGGCTTTCTAGGAGCCTGGAGAGGGCAAAAATGACCTTCCACACTCCCCTGGAGACCCTCCGGATGCCGGAAACAGCCCGTTTCCCGACTTCCAGTGGGCCGAAAATCAGTTGGCTGGAGTGTGCATGTGCCCTGGAGCTGAGCTAGGGCAATGCTCGTGTGCCCACAGATATGGCTCCGCGTGGCACCTGTGGCACGCGTGCCATAGGTTCGCCATCACGGGTATAGGATTTCCTGTTTGAGCAGGGGGTTGGACTGGAAGATCTCCAAGGTACCTTCCAACACTGTTATTCTTTTAGAAATTAATCTTAGAAACTACTTTGATTCAAATCTGATTCACCAACAACTGTGAGCTAAAATATAAGCCACCCAGAGTCACTATAACACCTTTGCTTTAAGAAGTTCTAAAGGCTTTGCTTTATGTCCTATAAAGGTTACCCCAGATGCTAATAAACTCATTCAAGCAAAAAATGAAGCCTTAGGAACACTAATTAGTTTGGGACAAGATTAGAAAGTCACGGATAAATTAAAGAACATGCTGAATCTGTGTTTACTTTTGTGGGGTTCCAAAAAATAGCTCCCTAAATTGATCAATTTGTACCTTCTCTCTTTTCTTTTTCAGAGATGGAGAGAACAGTTGCTTTGCTCAGTCTTTTGATAACATTCAACCTCTTGATGGTATCTGAATCTTACGTGAAAGGTAAAAAGCAGGGGTGGGCTTCAAAAATTTTAGCAAGGGGTTCTCTGCCTGGTTGCTGGGAGGGCGTGGCCATGGTGGGCATGGCCTAGTTGGCCTCCTGCATCACAGCAGGGGGGTGGGGGGGCATTTTTGCCCTCCCTGGGCTCCGGAGGCTTTCCTTGAACCTCCGGGAGGGCAAAAACGGCCTCCCTAGGCTCTGGAGGCCCTCTGGAAGCATCCCGAACTTCTGGTAAACCCGTTTTTCACCCTCCCTCAGCCTCCGTGTGCGCCCCGCATTTACCTGCATCCAAAACAGGTCGTGTGGTGTCTCCTGGGAGGGGAGGGGCAGGATGGGTGGGGCCAACCAGAAGTGGGATTTGGGATTTCTCTGAACTGCACAGAATCTTAGCTAGAGGTTCTCCCAAACACCTGCAAACCCCCAGCAGCACACCCCTGATTATAAGTCTTGTTTTGCTTCCTGAAACCTTTTCGCCAGCATAATTCTTCCTGGGGGAGAGAAATGCAGCTCTTAATGGCCTCTTGAGGTATTTATAAACAAGACAGAAATGAAGATCAAGAGCTATTAATGTGAATGATGCAGGAATAGTACAGGGTCAGCTATATGAACACTGAAGGACCCTCTTTGTTCACATTATTATAAGAAAGAAATGTGCTTGTTTAGAGATTACACTAAGTCAGCTAAATTCCATTCTTGGTAATATATATCTTCTGAGGGGCCTAGCTGTCAAGGATGCAAGGACATCCATATGAAACAAAAAAGTTACTTATTATTCAAAGCAGCCATGAATCTACACCTCAGCAAACACAGAACTGAGGAAGGTTGTTTAGCTAAAATAATCTTATGAACTAGAAAATAAAGAAGGAATTTAGTAATTAGAAAGTGTCAATTATAATGTAACAAATGTATGTTAACCATATATGGAAAACTGCTGTGCTCACAAAATCCTTTGTCTCGGATATGTATAAAAGCAGTTGTATTAGAGCTCTTCTTGGTTCAGAATTGCAGATACAAATCTGATTCTGAAACTGCGCAATAAACTGTCTCTGGCTGACCAGGAATGTTGTTTGGTCCCATCATTCCATAACACTATTAGCCTTGATTAACCTTGGTTATTAATTTAGTTTAGTTTACTTTATTGTCATTGCACCTCGTACAACAAAATTAAATGCCATCTTCAGTGTACATTATAAAAATAAAACACAAACACACATCCTTCACATTCTATACAATTGAACTGAAAACCCGATATTGCATTAATATTGCACTATAGAGTAGAATTCAATATAGTTACCCACCCTGGGATACAAGCTGTTTTTCAGCCTATTTGTCCTTGCTTTTATTGTCCTGTACCGTCTGCCAGATGGTAATAGTTCAAAAAAAGGGGTGCCCAGAATGAGATGGATCTTTAGGAATGTTTCGAACTTTCTTAAGGCAGCGGGAGCTATAAAGCTCTTCCAAAGAGGGGAGAGGGCAACCAATGATCCTCTGAGCAATGATGTAAACCCTCTGGAGCGCTGTCCTATTTGCCACAGTGCAATTGGCAACCCATACACAGGTGCAGTAAGTTAATCTTGGTGGCCATCTGTTGAGAGACTAGAGAGCTTGCTTGTGCACTTGGTTAGCCAGGGAGAGAACCGACTGCTGGACTAGATGGGCCAGGGGCTGATCCATCAGGACACAGCTTGTGTTAAATGGTGGGATTCAAGAAATGAACAAGGGATTTTCTTTAAAAAAATTATTTATGGGGCACGGATAGGGCTAACAGATTCTTCCAAGGAAGGTGATGTCAAAAGTACAGGGAGTCCTTGACTTATAACTATTCATTTAGAATGACTGTTCAAAGTTACAGCAGCACTAAAAAAAATGACTTATGACCAGTTTTTATACTTATGACTATTGCAGCATCCCCATGGTTACATGATCAAAATTCAGGAACTTGGCAACTGGCATGGCTTTATGAGAGTTGCACTGTCCTGAGGTCACGTGATTACCATTTGTAACCTTCCCAGCCAGCTTCCGACCAGTAAAGTGAAGGGGGAAACCAACTCCCTTAATGACTGCATGATTTGCTTAACAACGGTGCCAAAAAAGGTCACAGAATGAGGTGCACCTCGCTAAAGAACTGCCTTGCATAGCCATGGAAATTTGGGCTCAATTGTAGTCATAAATGGAGGATTACCTGTAGTGGCGTTGCTGCTCCAGAGGGTCCTGGATGAAATGAATTACCAAGGTAGTCCTCAGTTTAACAACCTCAATTGAGTCTGAAATTTCTGTTACTAAGTGAAACATTTGTTAAGTGAGTTTTGCCCCATTTTACAACCTTTCTTGCCACAATTGTTGAGTGAATCACTGCAGTTGTTAAGTTAGTAACATGGTTGATAAAAGTGAATCTGGCTTCCCCATTGACTTTGTTTGTCAATAATTCGCAAAAGGTGATCAGATGACCCCCGGACACTGCAGCCATCATAAATATGAATCAGTTGCCAAGTGTCTGAATTCTGATCATGTGACAGCCATGTGAAAAATGGTCATAAATCACTTTTTTCAATGCCGTTGTAACTTCAAATGGTCATTAAATGAACTGTTGTAAGTCGAGGACTACCTGTATTTGTTTAATGTTCTTGACACCCATAACAAAAATTACAACAAAAACTGCAAAAAAGTACTTAGTCCTATCTGTACATTGTAGGATATAAAAGTACCATATTTTTTGGCGTATAAGACATACTTCCCCCCACTAAAAGTGGGTGAAAATTTCAGTGCATCTTATAGACCAAATACGGCCCCATTTTTGGGCTCCCGAACCCTTAGCAAGTCGTGTTTTCACCCTTCCTGGCTCCCAGAAGCACTCTGCAGACCAAAAATGGGCACGTTTTTGGTGAAAACAGGACGTGGGGTGGGTGGGTTGGGAGGCCAAAAATAGGCCTGTTTTTGGCCTGCAAAGTGCTTCTGGGGGCTGGGGAGGGTGAAAACGGGACACACGGAGGCCAAAAACTATTTTTTTTTCTCTGGAACTATTATTCCAGAGTGGGTGGGAAGGAAGGAAGGAAGGAAGGAAGGAAGAGATCCCTTTAATTTGCTTTATGCAAAGCTTGGATGGAAGGTTTTGAAGAAGCTTGGGACAGCATCTTACTGAGAGTCGGCATATGTCAAGAACTCACAATTAAAAGACTTTCTTCATTTCATGATCTTTCCTTCATTTCATCCCAAATCTGCCATGAGTGAGGCAGGCTTAATTTATCCTTAATCTACTGCTGTTAAAGTTGCATTCTCTCCCTTAAGCCAGCAGCATTCAGTCTTGCCATGTGAAATCTGTTCGGTTTTGTCATCCTGAAGGAAAAATAGGGTTGATTTCAAGGAGTCCATTGAAACAAGATAGGGAGGTAAACTCCTGCAGCCAGGGGTGAAATTGAGCAAGTTCTAACAGGTTCTGGAGAACCAGTAGCGGAAATTTTGAGTAGTTCGGAGAACTGGCAAATACCACCTGTGGCTGACCCCAGAGTGGGGTGGGAATGGAGATTTTGCAGTATCCTTCTCCTGCCACGTCCACCAAGTCACGCCCACAGAACCGGTAGGGAAAAATTTTGAATTTCACCCCTGCCTGCGGCTAATTAAGAATATTATCAAAAGGCCCAAGAAGGTTCTTTTTTAAATAACCTAGAATCATAACTGTTCCTTTCTAGTGTGCCACTAATAATTTAATTTGAAGATCTGTCATTAAATTGAGCTCATTTTAAAAAAAAATGAAAGGAGAGAGATTTATGGAAAGGGAATATTCTTCTGTATATTCTTAGTTACTATTGGAACTGCTAACACAAGAGAAACCTCCTACAATATGCAGGGCAAGGTCAAAAGTGGCAAAATGAATAGTGCAGTCATATCTTTGTCTTGAGTTGTTTGGCACACATGCAATATGGACACCCCTGATTTAGGGCAGACTGTCATTAATAGTTGAGTCAGTCTTCATTCCCTACTTCTGGCTAGAGAAACTTGATAGTCATTGCTGGTAACAATCATTTTTTGCTACTTCTTATTTATTTATTAAGAAAATTTGTATGGCTGCTCAACTCACAATGACTTGAAGTGGGGTGGGGGCAGGGGTGAAATGCTCCCAGTTCGGACCGGCTCGGGTGAGTAGGTAGTGATGGTGGCAGGCAGTTTGGAGAACCGGTAGCAAAAATCCCTGCCCCCGCCCCCATGCCCACCTGAGCCGCGTGATCATCAGAGCCTTTTTTTTCCTTTTAAATGGCTCTGACGAGCCAAGCTCTGACGATCCCAGCTGAGTTGCCTGCCGATCAGGCAACTCAGCTGGGATCGTCAGAGCCTTTTGAAAGCATTTTTTACATGGTTTTACATGTAAAAAATGGTTTTAAAAGTAAAAAAAAAAAAATTGGCCACACCCACCCAGTCACATTACCTCTCCCACCAAGCCACAGCCACAGAACTGGTAGTAACAAATTTTAGATTTCACCCTTGGGTGGGGGCTTATAATGAGTGTTGTTTGCTCATTATTTAATTTCTTATTTTGCTTCTCAGCCAAGAAGATGTTTAGAAATAAGATTTAAGATTTTAAAATATAAGTAACGGGGCAGTATTTGCCTTCAGGCTTAACAATGTAAATTATATTATAGGCAAGCAATAAAGATGGACAGGGAAGTAGATGCCTGCTCTGCTTTCTTAAAAGTGTTTGTAGCTACCTGTGATAATGTAGGTAGCCATTCTTTTAATTTTTTTATTTTATTTATTTATTTTTTCAAGCACATATAAGATAAGAGGCAAACCTATAAACATAATTTGAATACATGAAAAGAGTAAGTAAAAAAGGAATATTAGGACAGGGATGGTAGGCACGCTGGTGTACTCATGCACGCCCCTTACAGACCACTTAGGAATGGGATGAGGTCAACAGTAGACAGTTTAAGGTTAAAGTTTTGGGGGTTTGGGGAAGAAACCACAGAGTCAGGTAGTGCATTCCAGGCATTGACCACTCTGTTGCTGAAGTCGTATTTTCTGCAATCAAGTTTGGAGCGGTTTACCTTAAGTTTGTATCTATTGTTTGCTCGTGTATTGTTGTGGTTGAAGCTGAAGTAGTCATTGACAGGAAGGACATCATGGCAGATAATTTTATGTACTATGCTTAGGTCAGACTGAAGTTGGCTTAGTTCTAAGTTGTCTAAGCCCAAAATTTGGAGTCTGGTGGCAGAAGGTATTTTATTGTGGGTAGAGGAATGGAGGACTCTTCTCGTAAAATATCTCTAGATTTAATCTCTCCTCTTCCTGGTTAACGGGGAAAAAAAGCCAGAATCTTATTTTTCTTCTAACATTATTTTATTCTTCCAAAGATCATGATGATGATGATGACGATGATTTCTTTGAAGAGCTGATTGATAGAGAATTTTTCAACAGCATTATTGAAGCCAAGCAGAAGGTGGATCAGGCATTTATATTATCCCGGGAAAAGTGAGTGTCCTTTGTGTAAAACTGTAGTTAACTTCCTTTGTTATGTTTCATCACAGACTCTAAGCTGCAATGAACATTTAGAAATATAACTAGGAAACAGATGGAAGAAAAAAAGTTTAACCTAAATAGCAATAATAAACACACACACACAAGTTTGTGTGGACCTGAGACTTCTAGATAGAAATTTAGAGGGCAGGTTTAGGGGTCCCTTCTTAAAATTGCCACTAAATTATAAACTTTATATTGAGGCCAATAGAAAATTGTTAAATAAATGGGGAACAATAATTTTAAATGTAATTAGTTAAATGTAAATACATTTAATTTAATTTTTGTTCTATCCACATTTTGGTCCTGTCCTTCCAATTTGAGAGAATGTACCTCCAAAAGCATGCCATCAAAAGATTAAGGGCAGCTTAATCTAAAAAAAAGCATACATCCCTGCCTTACAATAAATTAAATAATAGCAAACATAACAAAAATACCAACTTGATCTCTGAAGGCTAAGATCCTTTTCACACAGGGCGGCTTCAGTCACACAACGTATTCAAACTGGCTGCACAATTCATCAGTATTTTGTGTTAGAACAATATAGCGAATGATCATAAATAAGTCAATGAGCTATGGCATGAAAGTAACCTGAGTTTATATGTTGTGCCAAGGCAAGCCACAAAGTTTTTCATGTTCTTTCATGGTCCTGGTTAAGATTGTTTCAGAAACAAGCAATGAGAGAAGGAAAGAGAAATGGTTGGTTCCAAACTTTCAGTGCATAGTGACGTGCACTGCAGATTTCTTTTTCCGCTCCTCTCCTTTTCTTTTCCCTTTTCCCTTTTCCCTTTTTTTTAAAATTTGATTTATATGCCCCCCTTCTCCGGAGACTCAGGGCGGCTTACAATGCGTTAAGCATTTCTTCTTTTCCCTTTCTTCCCTTCCCTTTTCCTTATTCTGGTATCCTCTCCTCTCCTTTTTCTTTCCCTTTCCCTTTTCCTTTTTCTTTCCCTTTTCCCTTTTCCCTTTTCCCTTTTCCCTTTTCCCTTTTCCCTTTTCCCTTTTCCCTTTTCCCATTTATTTATTTATTTATTTATTTATTTATTTATTTATTTATTTATTATTGAATTTCTATACCGCCCTTCTCCCTGAGGACTCAGGGCGGTGTACAGCCAGAATTAAAAAACATGCACAAATATTAAAAAACACTTAAAAGATATATAAATTTGGCCCAATTAAAACTCACTACCAATTAAAACATTTAAAAATTTCTTCTTAAGCCAGCCTGGCTTGCTTGAAAAAATAGGTTTTAAGGGCACGACGGAAGGCACTGAGGTCTTGGATTCTCCTTATCTCTGGGGGCAGCTGATTCCAGAGGGTAGGTGCCCCCACAGAGAAGGCCCTCCCCCTGGGGGTCACCAGCCTGCACTGTTTGGCTGATGGCACCCCGAGGAGGCCCTCTCTGTGGGAGCGCACGGGTCGATGGGAGGTCGTCGGTAGCAGCAGGCGGTCTCGAAGATAGCTAGGCCCTATGCCATGGAGCGCTTTAAAGGTGATAACCAGCACCTTGAAGCGCACCCGGAAGACCACCGGGAGCCACCAGGAGCGGTGTTACATGGGAGCGCCATGCTGCTCCCGTCACTACCCGCGCTGCTGCGTTCTGAACCAGCTGGAGCCTCCGGGTGCTCCTCAAGGGGAGCCCCATGTAGAGAGCGTTGCAGTAGTCAAGGCGAGAGGTGACGAGGGCATGAGTGACTGTGCACAGGGAATCCCGATCAAGAAAGGGCCGCAACTGGCGAATCAGGCGAATCTGACAAAAGGTCCCCCTGGTTACAGCCGTCAGATGTTCCTCCAAAGACAGCTGCATATCCAGGAGGACTCCCAGATTGCGAGCCCTCTCTGTGGGGGCCAACGACTCGCCCCCAATAGTCAGTGATGGAGTCAACAGACTATATCGGGATGCCGGGAGCCACAGCCACTCAGTCTTGGAAGGGTTGAGCTTGAGCCTGTTCCTCCCCATCCAGATCCGCACAGCCTCCAGGCACTGGGACATCACTTCAAGGGCATTGTTGGGTTGGCCTGGGGTGGAGATGTACAGCTGGGTGTCATCAGCGTACTGGTGGTATCTCACCCCAAAGCCACGGATGATCTCACCCAGCGGCTTCACATAAATGTTGAACAGAAGGGGCGAGAGGACCGATCCCTGCGGCACTCCACAAATAAGAGGCCTCGAGGTCGACCTCTGCCCCCCTGCCAACACAAACTGCGACTGGTCGGAGAGAAAGGAGGAGAACCACCGTAACACGGTGCCTCCCACCCCCAACTCTTCCAGCCGGTGCAGCATGATACCATGGTCGATGGTATCAAAAGCCGCTGAGAGGTCTAACAAGACCAGAACAGAGGAGCAACCCCTGTCCTGAGCCCTCCAGAGATCATCAACCAACGTGACCAATGCCGTTTCCGTGCTGTGCCCAGACCTGAAACCCGACTGGAACGGATCTAGATAAGATGTTTCCTCCAGGAATTGCGGAAACTGTCGCGTGACCACACTCTCAACAACCTTCGCCATGAAGCGAAGGTTGGAGACAGGACGGTAGTTGGCCAATATTGCCGGATCCAGGGACGGCTTCTTGAGGAGAGGCCTCACCACCGCCTCTTTCAAGGCGGTGGGGAAGTAACCCTCACTCAATGAAGCGTTGATAACACCCTGGAGCCAGCCTCGTGTAACCTCCCGGGAAGCCAGTACCAGCCAGGAGGGACACGGGTCCAGTAAACATGTGGCCGCACTAAGTTTCCCGAAAATCCTGTCCACATCATCGGGAGTCACAGCATCAAACTCCTCCCAGATAACATTCTCAAGACTATTCCTCGTCACCCTGCCCTGATCTACCCAGTCAGAGTCCAAATCCCCCCGGATCTGAGCGATTTTGTCATACAGGTATTGTCCGAAATCCTCTGCCCTGCCTTCCAGGGGATCCTCCCGCACTCCCAGATGGAGCAGGGAGTGGGTTACCCTGAACAGGGCGGCCGGACGATTCCCTGATGACGCAATAGAGGCGGAAAAGTAATTAAACTTTGCCGTCTTTATCGCCACTAAGTAGGCCTTAATATGCGACCTTACCAGTGTTCGATCAGATTCAGCGAGACTGGCCCCCCAACCGCTCTCCAGGCGTCTTTTCCAGCGCTTCATTTCCCTCAGCTCCTCAGTGAACCAAGGAGCTGCACGGGATCGGCACCGGGTCAGAGGCCGCAAAGGCACGACTCGGTCCAAGGCCCCACCAGCCGCCCGATCCCAGGCGGCTACCAGGTCCTCAGCCGAGTCATGTGCTAGAACCTCAGGAAATGGCCCAAGCTCCATCTGGAACCTCTCAGGATCCATCAGGCACCTGGGGCGGATCCATCTAATTGGATCCGCCTCCCTGCGGTGGGGGGCAGCGGTTCGAACATCCAGGCGAAGGAGTGAGTGGTCTGTCCATGACAAGGGTTCCACGTCTATATCCCCAATAATAAGACCACTCAACCACTGGCCAGAGACAAAAATCAGATCCAGAGTGTGACCTCCCCTGTGAGTAGGGCCATGAACTAACTGGGTCAGGTCCATGGCCGTCATGGAAGCCATGAACTCCCGAGCCACCTCAGACGTTTCACCAACTGATGGCAAGTTGAAATCACCCATGACTAAAAGCCTGGGTGTATCTACTGCCACCGTAGCTATCATGTCGAGTAGCTCAGGTAGGGCTGTTGCCACGTGGCAGGGAGCCAGGTACGTAAGCAACAAGCCCATCTGAACCCCACGACCCCACCTCATAAGGAGGGACTCACATCCGGCTATCTGAGGCACAGTGGTCTCCCTTGGACCCAGATCCTCGTTAATAATAACTGCCACCCCCCCGCCCCTCCCCTGGGCCCTCGACTGATGGAATGCTCTGAGGCCTGGTGGGCACATTTCAACCAGAGGGTTTCTGGTTTTCCCCTTTCCCCTTTCCCCTTTCCCCTTTCCCCTTTCCCCTTTCCCCTTTCCTTTCCTTCCCTTCCCTTCCCTTCCCTTTTTCCATTATCCTCTCCTCCCCTCCCCTCCCCTTCCTCTCCTTTTCTTTTTCTTTGTTTCTATTTGAATTTATATGGCTGCCCATCTCAGTGTTGTGACTCTCAAGCCCAAAACCTGTTTACTAAATATCCTCATTCATTCATTCATTCATTTGCTCTGCTGTAACAAACCCCCCTCTCAAAGCTGACTAGTTAATCCATTATCTCTGAAGGAGCTTGGGTATCCAGCAATTTATAACCATACCAGAGGCTGAGTCTATGCTTCTTGGATATGATATTGTAGAAGGATCCCCTTCCCCAAAGAGTTCAGTCAAATGAAACATTCAGATATTTGAGCAATAGTAAAGACAGGAGAGAAGAAGAAAAATGTACAGATTTATTGTGGCATGGAAAAATAAGAATTCAGGCTGCATACATTAATCCATACATGTTGACTAAACAGGGTTCTCTAGTGAAGTAGCAAAGTAGTTACGTAGAAGAAAATTTTTATAACACTGGCTATAGTTGATTTTCTACCTAGAAAGAAAGGAAATAACATGAAAGAATAAGAATACCTCCGGTCTATTTCTCTCTTTGTGGTGCAACTTCCCTGCTGCTATTTTAAAAACGGCATTATGTAAACACAACTATATTTCCCATGACATTTTCTATTGTGGTTGCTGTCATCAAGTCTACTTCTTTTTCCAGACTAAAAGTAAGTTTGAAGAAGGATGATCTCCACCCTTCTGATTTTCTGAAATATTTAAAAACACCCGTGGCAGGAACTAGGACTGCAATCCGATCTGCAAGTTATATGGAAACTGCTTTGAATCTCTTAAAGAAGAAAATACAAAATAAGCACCTGGGACCATTGAATGTTACAGGTAGGATGAAAAACCAGAGACACTTATGAGGGTCCATGAAAACAAAGCCGGATCACAGTGCCTTGAAAGAATGTTCTACCTCTGGAGTGCTCCAGAACTTTTTCTTGGCTAGGTAATGCAACAGGATGAGAAGTGGACAAGAAACAGAAAATCTCACATGTTAGGTCATGAATACTACAGCTTAGACTCCAGAAAATGTTTATTTCCAGAATGAAAGCAGTTGGACACTTCCCTTGAAGTCTAATTTACAATTTTAAAATACAGGTAGTCCTCAACTTACCATCATTCATTTAGCAATTATTCAAAGTTACAAAGGCAGTGAAAAAAAATGATTTACAACCCCACACTTATGACCTTCACAGCAACCCCACAATCATGTGATCCAAATTTGGGTGCTTGGCAACCAGCATGTACCGGTATTTACAATGGTTGCAGCATCCCAGAATCATGTGATCATCATTTGTGATCTTCCCAGCTGCTTCCAACAAGCAAAGTCAATGCGGTAAGCTGGATTCCCTTAACAACTACATAATTCACTTCACAACTACAGTGATTCACAACTGTGCAAAAAAAAGGCGATAAAACTGGATATGACTTATTCAACAACCACCTTGACATAGCAATGGAAATTCTAGTCCCAATTGTAGTCATAAATCAAGGACTACCTATATTGATAATTAACAATTAAATTAACATTAATTAAATTAGTATTACAACAAATTCTTGATTTCTAATGGATTTCCCCCCCTGTTTAGATATATTAAGCAAACAGCAGAAAGAGACACTCTCCAGAAAAACTGGCTGCGATTATGTGATCCAGCCAATCCGTTGTCCACTGTACAGCCCTTACCGGACCATTACTGGTGAATGTAACAATCGGTATGTAACTCCTGCTACTTAAGGCTGATCTCTTTAGGCCAGGGGTCTGCAACCTTAAACGCTCAAATTTTATTTATTTATTTATTTTATTTTTCAGATTTCTATACCGCCCTTCTCCTTTCGGACTCAGGGCAGTGAACAACCAAGATAAAACATTTGTACACAAAAGTTAAAATAGATTTAAAATAATTAAATAAAGTTTGGCCCATAATTTAAAACATTTCAATTAAAATAAAATCAAATAAAATAAAATCAAAGAGCCATTTGGATCCGTTTCCTACAGAAAAGAAAACACCGGGAGCCACAAAACCTGGGTGGGTGTGGCCAACTCGACGTCATTCATTTCCACCAGTCACATGACCCTCCTTAGCCACGCCTACCCAGCTTGTCATTAGGGCAGAGAACCGGTTGTTAAAAAACACTGGGAACCATAAAACCCTTTTGACATCTCTCTCTCCCTCTCTCTCTCCCTCTCTCTCCCCGCCTTTCTGTATCTCTCTGCCTCTGCCCCACCTGCTTCTCCATCCCCCACCGTCGCCCTTACCTTCTCAGGCCAGGCGAGGAGTGACTGGGAGGGGAGGGTGAGGGGTGGGGCCAGCCAATGGTGGGATCACCCAACAGGGAGCCACAGCAGAGGGCCCAAAGAGCCTCATGCAGCTCTGGAGCCACAGGTTGCTGACCCCCGCTTTAGGATATGGTGATTTTGTGGAATAAGAATTGATAGAGCTGAAAAGTTTAGGTTTACTTCCTGTGCAAAGCATTAGAGATGTTGAAGGAGCAAAACTGGTGTCTGAAGCCTTTTAAGGCATCTCTTCTGCAGCTTAAAAGCCCTCTAAAATGCGGGAAAGCTGATTGGAAGGATTTTGAGGGGTACAGTAAGAATCCTAAGCACCTGCAAGGTGCAAAACATTTATTTCAGTGGTGGGATTCATCCAGTTCGCACCTATTCGGGAGAACCAGTTGTTAACTTTCTAAGCAGTTCGGAGAACCGGTTGTTGGAAGAAATCTCCTTTTGTTTTTTTCCACTTTACAAGGCTAATCCTGTAAGGAATTACAACATTCTGGTGTTGTTTCTAGCCTAATCTTTATTGCCCTGCTTACAGAAATTGCCTGTCTGGTTAACCCTTATTACATTGTAACAGCTAAGGCGAAGCGCCCATCGACATGAGTGATGTTGAGTTGGCCACACCCACACAGTCACATGACCACCAAGCCACACCTACCCAGTTGGTCATTAGGGCAGAGAACCGGTTGTTAAATTATTTGAATCCCACCATTGATTCATTTCCCACTTCTTTACCTCTAGGTAAGTTAGCCACTTAGATGGAAATATGGTCTGACTGGCTGTAAAGCAACTTTGTATGCTGAGCTATTCATCTGAAAAATAATCAAGTTCTATGAGGAAAAAGAATTTTAGCAGACAGAATAACAGAATTGGAAGGGACTTTGAAGGTCTTCTGGTCCAACTCACTGTTCAAGCGGGAAACCCTGTACCACTTCAGACAAATGACTAGCCAGTCTCTTTTTAAAAGCCTCCAGAGATGAGCTTCCACAAGTTCCACTGATTTATTGTTCTCACTGTCAGGGAATTTCTCCTTAGTTCTAGGTTGCTTCTCTCCTTGATTAGTTTCCATCCATTGCTTCTTATTTTGCCTTCTGGTGCTTTGGAGAATAGCTTGACCTCATCTTCTTTTTGTGGCAGCCCCTCAAACATGCCATCATATCATCCCTAGTATTTCTTTTCACTAGATTAGACATACCCAATTCCTGCAACCATTCTTCCTGTGGTTTAGCCTCCAGACTCCTTTTAATTTCCTCTTTTAAAAATACCGGCACCATTGGATCATTAGCGTTAATGGCAATCAGTATCAGAAGCTCTGTATGGAATTGTTTATTTCTAGCCTAAATCATTTTAGGTTTTAAGCTTCATTTCATTTCATGGTTAATCTTAAGGGGGAGTTTTAAAACAAGCTTTCCAGCAGCGCATTTAATCAGTTACAGTTTCTCAAAATGGATATTTACACAGGGGTTTCATTTTGTTCAACATTCAGGGAAGAATAAAACCTGCCCATTAGATAAACTTCAACCTTCAGGGAGGTAAAAGAGGTAATTTTTGTACAGAGATGATTGTTCCAGCATATTTGATTCAATGAGGGAGACCTCCCTGAAAGACATCCCATGCATTACATTATTTTCCCATTCTAGGGAGCACCCACATTTTGGAGTAGCCAATCATGCCTACGCACGCTGGCTTCCAGCAGAATATGAAGATGGCATATCCCTTCCAAGAGGACTAATTGCGGGACAACTTTATCATGGACATCCTCTCCCTCTGGTAAGTGATGGGAAGTCAATTACCTGTTTGGATTGAGCCTGTAGTTGGAGAACTATCAGGGGACACTGGTAAAACCATCGTGGACTTTAGCATAGGATGAGGTGACCCTTGTAAAGCAATACCTATACCAGTCTAAAGTGGCCAGTAGCAACTGGGCTAGTTCATCATCCCACTCCTCTCCAAATCACCTGAGTTTACCATCAATAATATGGTTAATGAAGTGGGTTAGATCATGCCCCCAGTTGCCATTGTGTATTGTTTACCTTAGAACGGAATGTCTCAATCTTTGGCTTGAAGATGTGTGGACTTCAACTCCCAGAATTCCCTAGGCTAGCATGCTGGCTGGGGAATTCTGGGAATTGAAGTCCACATGCCTTTAAGTTGCCAAGATTGAAAGACAGTCCTTAGAGGATGGATTGGGGAGAACTTTATAAGGACACAATAGAAAAAATAGGTTGTTGTGGCACGTTTATGCTGCGGTTAGATCAGTGATGGCAAATCTATGACATGGGTGTCAAAGGTGACACACTACGATGTTTTGGGTGACATGCCAGCATTCACCGACACTCAAGGATGAGTAATAATAGATCCCGCTCACCCCCACTCTGCCCTTGCCCTCCCCATGTGTCCTTAGTTTTAATATCTAATTTTAACTTTTTATTTTTAAACTTATAGTTGCCCAGAGTTACCCTAGTTTTAATTTCCTTTTGTATGACCTGGATTCCAAGGAGAGAACACTTAGGAAACTGAGGGATTTCAATCCAAACAGATTAGAATTGCTTATCTGATCCACTTTGGGGGTTTCCTTGCAGGTACGGCTAGTGTCTAATGAGATCATCACAACTTCCAATGAGAATGTGACTCCTGATGACCAACGCTCTCTTGCATTCATGCATTTTGGGCAATGGATTGACCATAACTTGGACTTAGCTCCTGAGAGCCCAGCCAACATAGATAATGTCCACTGTGATTCTTGTTGCAATTATGCACCCCCTGACTTTCCAATTAAGGTAATAAAAACTCTGCTCTGGGGGGAAAAAGTATAGCATGGTATAGCCACAGATCAATTTTAACTTTGAGAGATCCTCCTTCTGAGGAGAATTTTTCCCTGGTTTTGATAAGGTGAACATAAAAATTGTGTCTCTTTAAAATAGTTTAAAATAGTATCTTTAAAATACAGTAGTGTCTCTTTAAAATAATTAACAAGAGTTATGCGACCTCTGGCCATAATAAAGACTTTTTATAGCACTTAGACTTATATATCACTTATATATCACTTCAGAGTGCTTTACAGCATTCTCTAAGTAGTTTACACAATCAGCATATTGCCCCCAACAATCTGGGTCCTCATTTCAGGAAGGATGGAAGACTGAGTCAACCTGGAGCCAATCAAGATCAAATTGCTGGTAGTGAGCAGACTTAGCCTGCAATACTTCATTGTAACCATTCCACCACCATGGCTCTTTTATATTTTTCTAATGATGATGATGATGATGATTATGAGAGGGAGAGACAGAGATGATATATGAATGGATTGATTGATGACAGGCAGATGATAGATAGATAGATAGATAGATAGATAGATAGATAGATAGATAGATAGATACCGTGTTTCCCCCAAAATAAGACCCTATCTTACATTTTTTTGAACCCTGAAATAATCTTATCTTATTTTCTGGACCCATGTAGTTCATTGACTATAAGTGAATCAAATAAGTTGGTTGACAAACTATGCTGAAAAGCTAAGTTTTCAGGGTGTGAAATACAAGCTCTTTCACCGACTTGCTGGCCTCTTATTAGACTTGAAATCTCACAAGATTCAAAAATAATTTTAAAAACACTTTTTAAAAAAACCATTTATTAAAAATCAACTGAACAATCGAAGTATTTAAAAGCATGTTTATTTTTAACTGCCAGAACCTGAAAAATATAGAAACGTAGAAAATGGACAGCGGAAAAAGTCTGCCCTTTGAGATTTTTGTATTTTCGTTTTCTTTTCAATTAATGAATTAATTAATTAAATCTCAACCATTTACTTTACCAACTTAAAGCCTTATGCCCAAACTCTTAAAATAAAAACAATTCATTAATTCATTAATTATTTTTTATTTTATTTTATTAAGAGTTCAGATATAATGCTTTAAATTGGTAAAGTAAAAAGGCTGAGGCTGTTATTGTATTCTATATTTTATTCCTTTCCACCCCGTACCTACAGCTTTCTTTCCCCTTTCTCTCTCTTTCCTATTTTTCTATCACTTTTATTTTCATTTTCATTTAATATTATGATAACATTAATAACATTTTTTAAAAAGAGTTCAGGTATGATGCAGATAAGGAATGCGGTGGCTCAGTGGCTAAGATGCTGAGCTTGTCAATTGAAAGGTCAGCAGTTCAGCCATTTGAATCCCTAGTGCCGCGTAATGGGGTGAGCTCCCGTTACTTGTCCCAGCTTCTGCCAACCTAGCAGTTCAAAAGCCCGTAAAAAATGCAAGTAGAAAAATAGGGACCACCTTTGGTGGGAAGGTAACAGCATTCCGTGTGCCTCTAGCGTTTAGTCATTTATTTATTTATTATTTATTAATTCAATTTGTATGCCGCCCCTCTCCGAAGACTTAGGGTGGCTCACAATGCATTTAAAATCATTATAAAAAACATTTAAAAATTAAAAACATTAAAAACATTAAAACCCATTCACGCCATTCATGGCTGGATCTCGCCGGATCGCAAGAGCGAGATCAACGGCCCCAGGCCTGCCGGAAAAGCCAGGTCTTCACCGCTTTTCGGAAGGCCAATAGGGTGGGGATGGTCCGGACCTCAGGAGGTAACTGGTTCCAGAGAGCTGGGGCAGCCACAGAGAAGGCCCTCCCCCGCGGGCCCGCCAGCTGGCATTGTTTAGCTGACGGGACCCGGAGGAGACCAACTCTGTGGGATCTTACCGGTCGTTGGGATGACCACAGAGACGTCTTCGGACAGCGTTGGCTCTTCAGCTTTGAAACAGAGATGAGCACCGCCCCCTAGAGTTGGGAACAACTAGCTTGTATTTGCAAGGGGAACCTTTACCTTTACCTTATAATAAGGATTAGACTGGGATCACAAACATGTGGATGTTTTGACTTAGTGACCTTTTTATACAGATCCCCCCTGGAGATCCACGGATTAAGACTCCGGGCATCTGTCTGCCGTTTGTTAGGACAGCTGCAGCGTGCAACCCCACAACATTTGTCCGTGAGCAGCTCAATGCAATCACCTCATTCATGGATGCCAGTGCTGTGTATGGGAGTCAAGAGCAACTAGCAAGGAGTTTGAGGAACCAAACCAACTCACTTGGTCTCATGGCAATCAATCAGAACTTCACCGATGCCGGACTGTCCTTTCTGCCTTTTGAGATCAACTCCAATAGCCTCTGTCTTCATACAAATAAAACTGCCAAAATCCCATGTTTTAAAGCAGGTATTTATTTGTTTAATTAATGTATTCAATTTATAAGACCACCCAGCATCAAAGTGACTCTGTGAGGGGTTCAGCAATAAGAATATTACAGGTAGTCCTCCACTTACAACAGTTCATTTAGTGACTGTTCAAAGTTACAACGGCACTGAAAAAGCAATTTATGACCATTTTTCACAATAAAGGTTGTAATTATAAAAAATGGTCATAAATCGCTTTTTTCAGTGCCGTTGTGGCCTGGAAAAAGCAAAGGAGTGGCCCGCGGTGCCTCTGCCAGCGAAAGCGGAACTAGGGGAGGCTGCGTGCAGCCCACTCGAGCTCCATTTTCACTGACAGAACACTTGGGCCGCCACAGGCAGCCCAAGAGTGACGTTGAGTTGGCCATGCCCACCTTGGCCATGCCCACCTGGCTCCCTGAGGTCAAACACAACCCTGATGTGGCCCCCAATGAAATCGAGTTTGACACCCCTGCTTTATAGCCATCCCTATGGTCATGTGACCAAAATTCAGATGCTTGGCAACTGGTTCATACTTATGACCTTTGCCGTGTCCCAAGGTCATGTGATCAACATCTGTGAACTTTTGACAAGCAAAGTCATTGGGGAAGCCAGATTCACTTAACCAAGTTACTAATTTACTTAACATATGGAGCAAGAAATGTCGTAAAATGGGACAAAACTCAATAAATTTCTCACTTAGCAACATAAATTCTAGGCTCAATTGTAGTTGTAAGTCAAGGACTACCTGTATTTGTATATCATTTTTACTCCAACTGGACCGCTATTTACTTAACAACTGTGTTACTAACTTATCAACTGCCGTGATTCACTTAACAACTGTGGCCAGAAAGGTCATAAAATGGAGCAAAATTCACTTAACAAGTGTCTCACTTGACAACAGAAATTTTGGACTCAATTGTGGTCATAAGTCGAGGACTACTTGTACTAACAAGCACAGATAATAACGTAGGCATTTGGAAGAAGAACTGTTTGTTTTTAAAAGTAACACAACCCACAGGATTTGCCGTCCAATCTGACCCAAGGCCTGGGAGAAGAGTCAAATTTTTAAGAACTTTTATAGAACTTTATTTTTAAAAAATTAATAAATCAGGCATATTGTGTATTCCGTTCTGGGGCATTGCATGTAAGTTATATGTGAATGGCGGGATGAAGTATGCAACGTAGAGGCCATCTAGTCCAACCCCCTGCTTACGCAGAATAACACTGGATAATGTCCCCTAATATCCTGCTTTGGTAAAGATCCATAGCCCAGCATGGCCAAGATGTGTTTTTTGGATGCAGAAATTCAGCTTTAACATCCCTAGTAATTAATCACACTAGGGCAGGGGTTGACAACTGTGGCCCTTTTACAACCTGTGGACTTCAACTCCCAGAATTCCTGAGACAGCCAAGCTGGCTCAGGAATTCTGGGAGTTGAAGTCCACAGGTCATAAAGGGGCCATATTTGCCCACCCCTGCACTAGGGACATGACCTGAGCTGGACACCTTCTTACCTTCTGAAATAGGTAACACTCTGATGATATAAGAAGAGGCAGAGAGGAATTAGAGGTTAGTTGTATAAGAGTCTATCTGGCAGTCAGAAGATCCCCAGGTTACATCTCCCACAACTTCAGGAGGAACAAGAAAAGGCCCTCTTGAAATTCTGGAAAGCCACAGCTGGAAGTTCCACATAGAGATTTCAGTTGCACAGTTATGGACAACATTTTTTATACCCTTCCCTGTGAACATCCCTGGGACAGATGCCTCCTTTCACAACCAACGTTCAACATGTTCCAGCCAAATTCCCTTACTTAGGGGTACCAGATTTAGGCTGCAAAAATCCACATAACCTCTAGATTGCAGGGGGTAATCCTGAAAGGATTAACATTCTCCAGTTTCCTTTCTGAAATGTATAGATTATTTATTTTAGATTGTTTGCTTTAATTGCTACAACCAAACAGAACATGTCATGGTTTAACTTTGCAGGCGATGCAAGGGTCGATGAAAACCTGGGACTGATAGCTATTCACACTCTCTTTCTTCGGGAGCACAACCGGATAGCCGGGGAACTGAAGAAGTTGAATCCCCATTGGAATGGAGAGAGACTCTATCAAGAAACACGGAAGATCATTGGTGCTTTAAATCAGGTATTGAATGTTCTCATGTTTATCTCACAGCTTTTGCTGCTTTTACATAGCATTTTGTTTACACAGCAGTAGTAATGTGGATAAAAGAAGGAATCATACAGGGTCAGTTACATGATCTCTAAAGGACCCTCTCTATTCACATTAATATAAGAGAGAAAAGTGCTTGCTTGGAGATTATATTAAAAATCAGCTAAACCCCATTAAGTGGTAATATATCTTCTGATGAGACCTAGATGTCACGGAAGGACAGCCATATGGAAAACATCTGAGTGACCTCACTGTGAATGACACAAGGACATATATGTTACAAAGAGTTACTTAATCCAATAAATTTACCCAAGGACAGCAGTAAATTTCCCATTAGCAACCACAGCACTTAAGAAAGGTTGTCTAGCTAAAGATAATCTTATAAACTAAAAATAATGGTTTACTAATGGTTTAGTAATTAGTTGAACATATTATCAAATGTATGTAACCATATAGGGAAAATCGGATGTATGTAACCATATATGGAAAAGGCATGATCTCACCGAATCCTTTGTCTTAGAAATGTATAAAAACAGAGGTATCAAAGCTCTTTCCTTGTTCAAAGCTTCAGGTACAAATCTGGCTCTGAACCTTGCGCAATAAAACTGTCTCTGGCTGACCCAGGAATGTTGTTTGGTCCCTTCATTATACAACAGTAGCCAAAGAGATATTGCAGAACTGAATACTCTGTCCAAAATAGAGTTTTTTTCAGATAGAAAATAAATGAATAAAGGAAAAAAAAAGCCTTGTCCAATCTTTTCTCTTGCATGGCTTGTTCTTAATATTCAAAGGGAACTTTCCACTATTAAGGACAACATACATGCACCTCTTTTGCTGTCTAAGTTAGCACATTTCAGAAAATAGCTAGTTACTCTATTTATAATATTTATAAATGCCTCAAATAACACATGGAATTCTAAAACATAGGGTTAATATACTGAATGCTTTACCTTACTGAAACAAATCCCACTGGACAATAGATGGTAGATGTAGTCAAGCCACAAAAAAAATCTCACTTCAATAGAAGCAACAGCCATTCTTTTTTCAATGGTTTCAATTGTCAAGAATGGAATATAAGACCAGAAGATCAGTTCATTTATTAAGGTAATTCTATTGTTGATTTGGCCAGAGAGGGCAAAGTACAAGATAGAAATAAATGCTACCAGTGTCTGAAAATATGTTTTTCCTTTCCCTTAAAGGATTTTATCCACTACTTCTTGATGCTGGTATCAGAGGTGCTATTCAGCAGGTTCTGACAGGTTCTGGAGAACCAGTAGAGGAAATTTTGAGTAGTTCAGGGAACCGGCAAATACCACCTCTGGCTGGCCCCAGGAGTGGGGAGGGATTTTGCAGTATCCTTCCCCTGTCACACCCATCAAGCAACACCACGCCCACCAAATCACACCCACAGAACCAGTAGTAAAAAAAAATTGAATTCCACCACTGGCTGGTGTCTTAAGATGTCAGAATGGTGCTTTTCTCACTGTTCTCCATTTTACCCTGTTCCTCTGACTCATAATTTATGAGAGTCATTGACTTACTAGAGCCACTAATCACCACTGTGTAGTAGTGAAGGGAGGACATTTTGTGCTTTAGCTGTGGCTGATTGATGCTATCTATCAAGAGTGAGGAAATTGCCCGGTCTGATTCTTCACCCCCAAGTGAAAACAAGCCAGTGTGATGTAAGAGAGAGAGTTTTTCCCCTCATCTTTAGGACTGAGTAAATCTCCTGGAGAGGATTTTATAAATGAAGGCAGTGTTGAGTTAGATGCAGATTTCTGCAAGTTGCTGTTGAGCATTACTTCCTTCACACTTGTCCCCTAAATTGTCAGAAGACTAGTCAAGACTAGTATGTTGGCTGGGGAATTCTGAGAAGTGAAGTCCACACATTTTAAAGTTCCTAAGGTTAGGAAACACTGTAGTAGTTTGAATTGTATGGAATTTTGCAAGCCAGATGGCAGGCAGAAAAGTGACTCTTCTAGAGCAGGGCTGTCAAACTTGTGGCCCGCAGGCTGGATGCGTCACGTGCTGGCCCACGCCCGGTTTAGCAAAGGGGAAAAAAATCACGATATGTCATGTGACGATGCAGTGACGATGCGAGTTTGACACCCCTGTTCTAGAGGATGGAGGGTACCGAAGGGCACACTTTAAAAAGGAAATCTGGATAAGCTGGTGCTTCCTGTAAAGCAGTGCCTGCCCTCTACAATGAAACTCCCTTCAAAACCCCCATTTCCCCCCAGCCCAAAAGTTTAGCTCTTCACCTGGGCCTTTGGTGAGAATGATTTACACCTCCTTTTAATGGTGTTTTCCTTTGTTCCCATTTGGTTTTGTCATAATGCCATCTTTACACTTCTTTTTGTTTTGGGTTGTTTGTTCTTAATATTTTAAACAATTTGTAAACTACCCAGATTTGCTGGGAGTCATGCAGGATATAAAACTGGATATTTGGCTACACTATTTTCAAAAAGCGAAAGAATTACACAATGTTGATGTCGAATCAGATCAAAAGACCTACCATTGTTTCTTAAATTGGTTTATAATTTGTCCTTACTTTCTGAATGCTCAGAATACTCTTGGTATTAAGTCATCAGATAGGAGTAAATAAAGAAAATAAATAAGCAGGCTGAGGCCTTTGGGGCTTACATTGTCTTTGTATCATTGCAGATATTCACATACAGAGATTACCTACCTCTACTTCTGGGCAACGAATTCTATAAACGGTTACCTGCGTATAGAGGCTACAATAAGAATGTGGACCCCTCCATCTCAAACGTTTTCTCCTTGGCCTTCCGATTTGGGCATGGTACTGTCCCACCCTTTGTACCCCGCCTGGATGAGAAATTCCAGAACTCTCTTCCCTTTTCCAAGACTCCACTTCATCTCACTTTTATGGCTCCATGGAGGATTGTGGCGGAAGGTAAGTTGGGTCTCTGGCTTAACCCTCCTGAGCTGGGTTTCTCTAAGATCCTGACCATTTCTTGAGAAATGAATCCAAGCCTGTTAAAAGCGCAGTCTATTGGAACTATCCAATGCTCCTAGAAACAATCATTTTTGAAGAACAGGAAATGAGCAACTCTAAATCTCAGACTTGATGTTGTTTTTCCTAAATGTTAAAATATTGTAAAAATGTTGTCATGGAATATGGGTCACGCCCAGCGGTGAAATGTAAAATTTGTTACTACCCGTTCTGTGGGCTTGGCTTGGTGGTGGTGGTAATATGACTGAGTGGGCGTGGCCAACTTTTTTTTTTTTGGTTACTTTTAAAACCATTTTTTCTACAACCTCTTCGGCTGAAGAGGTTGTACAAAAATGCTTTTAAAGCCTCTGACGATCCCAGCTGACTTGCCTGATCGGCAGAAGCTTTTATTCCTTTCAAAAACATTTTTTCTATAACCTCTTCAGCCGAACCACCTGCCTCCATTGCTACCTGATCGGGCGATCCGATCAGAACCGGGAGCATTTCACCCCTGGTCACGCCCATCTTTTAATTTAGCTTTTCCTGTCCTAAAGTAGAGGCAGGTTTGAGGCAAGCTGTACTATTTGCATAGCTCGTTGCTATCAATATGCCTAATCTCTGTAGGGTAAAGTCTTACAAACCCATCACAGATATCTAATGCTTTCTTTTCACAAGATAATAAACTCCATCAAAGTAATAATAATAATAATAATAATAATAATAATAATAATAATAATAATAATAATAATAATTTTATTTCTATACCGCCCTTCTCCCGAAGGACTCAGGGCGGTGTACAGCCTATTTAAAAACACAGACAAAACAATGATATAAAATTTAAAATAATTAAATAAGTGGCTCAAATTTAAAACCCCAATAAATTTAAATACCCCAATTTAAAACTATTGTGTTGATAGTCCGGCCTGGCGGAACAACAGGGTCTTCAATGCGCAGCGAAACACCCGGAGGTCGGAGATCTTACGAATTTCCGGGGGCAGTTCATTCCACAGGGCTGGGGCTCCCACAGAGAAGGCCCTCCCCCTGGGCGTCGCCAGCCGACATAACTTGGCTGATGGCACCCTGAGGAGACCCTCTCTGTGGGAACGAACTGGTCGGTGGGAGGCTATTGGTGGCAGAAGACGGTCTCGGAGATACCCGGGTCCTATGCCATGGAGTGCTTTAAAGGTGGTAACCAACACCTTGAATCGCACCCGGAAGACCACCGGGAGCCAGTGCAGCTCGCGCAGGAGGGGTGTCACATGGGCATAACGGGTTGCGCCCATAACCACCCGCGCAGCCGCATTCTGGACCAGTTGGAGCCTCCGAGTGCTCTTCAAGGGGAGCCCCATGTAGAGAGCATTACAATAGTCCAACCGGGAAGTAACAAGGGCATGAGTGACCGTGCGCAGGGCGTCCCGATCCAGAAAGGGCTGCAACTGGCGAATCAGGCGAAAGTGTTCTAGATCCTTCTAGTGTGGGTTAGAATGCAACAAGTGAAGTTAGTGAAGATGCCCCAAACCTGCCTGATGCAATCCTGCAGCTTTGATCCAGGAAGCATACACTCATTGCTAGTACCTGCCCAGTAAAAGTAAAAGTAAAACCCTGCCCAGACTTTCCCACCCCCGATACAAAATATTAAAAAAAAATCCTGGGCCCACCCATCAGTTTGACTTGCCTATATATGACATTCTCTAAAGCAGGGGTGTCAAACTTGATTTCATTGAGGGATGTATCAGGGTTGTGTTTGACCTCGGTGGCCTGTGTGGACATAGCCCAGAGGTGGGTTTCAGCAGGTTCTGACCAGTTCTGGAAAACCGGTAGTGGAAATTTTGAGTAGTTCGGAGAACCAGTAGTAAAAATTCTGACTGGCCCTGCCCCCCATCTATTATTTGCCTCCCAAGTCCCAGCTGATTGGGAGGAAATGGGGATTTTGCAGTATCCTTCCCCTGGAGTGGGGTAGGAAGGGAAATTTTACAGTATCCTTCCCCTGCCACGCCCACCAAGCCATGCCACGCCCACCAAGCCACACCCACAGAACCAGTAGTAAAAAATTTTGAAACCCACCACTGGCGTAGCCAGCTTGACATCACTCATGTTGGGGGTGCCTGTGTTGGCCCGAGCCCTCGGCCAATAAAAATGAAGCTTGGGAGGGCTGCATGTGGTCCTCCTGAGCTTCGTTTTCAGTGACCGAGGGTTGCAGGGGACTGTCACACCTGATAACGAAGCTTTGGTGGGCCGCACGCAGCCCTCCTGAGCTCTCTTTTCGTTGGCAGAGGCACCGCGGGCCAGTCCTTCACTGTTTCCAGAGCAGTCCCACGGGCCAGATTTAAGCACCTGACTTTGACATCCCTGCTCTAAAGCCTTGAGCCTTTAAATGCTGCTCATCCCTACTGCACAATGGAGAAATTTGCCTCCCCCGTCCCCCCACATAGGCTCACTGAAGCATAGAGCTGCCCTACAATGACATTTCAAGGAGACTGACATTTCTAAAGCAGGGGACCCACTGCCACCCAGAGGGGCTTTGGAGGCTTCTGCCACCAGGAAGAAGTGTAAAGAGGAACTGAAATCCTTGGGAAAACGCCTCTTTCAGACAATGGGTCTTGGTGGGCTGCCTGGGGGCAAGCAGAATAGGCAACATTTTCTAAGTTGATGTCCTCGTTTTCATGTCTTGTTGGCTGCTGCATTCCAAATTGTGGTTTGCATTCCTTTAATTCAAATGTGTATTAGAATGGATTAATTTAAACTATGTTCATATACTTAATCTGATGATTGTGCTACACGTATTACCAGTATGTAAATGTCACCAGTTTTCACATTACACATGATAAATTAACAGCTACTTCCGGAATGGCTCTGAGTCTCAAAGATTTGGGGAGCTCACTAGGACCATGGGGTCACAGATTATGAATTTTTGATGTGGACCAGGTTATTGAGTTCTAATCCTGTTTAGTCATGCCAGCATGGCCACTAGAGAGAGGGAAGATTAAAGTTGTAGCCTAAACACAAAGATAGATATATTTTGACCAGCTTAATTGTGTCAGTGTAATAATAAATCATAAGGCAGCTTTAAAACTGTTAAACCATGTATCAAATTCTTTCTTTCTTTCTTTCTTTCTTTCTTTCTTTCTTTCTTTCTTTCTTTTTTCCTTTTTTCTTTCTTCTTTCTTTCTTTCTTTTTTCCTTTCTTTTCTTTTCTTTTCTTTCTTTCTTCCTTCCTTTTTTCTCTTTCTTCTTTCTTTCTTTCTTTCTTTCTTTCTTCTTTCCTTTCTTCTTTCCTTTTCTTTCTTTCCACAATCCCCTCCCCTCCTCTCCTCTCCCCTCCCCTTTCCTTCTTTTCCTTTTTTCCCCTTTTTCTCCTTTAAGTCCTTGTTGACTGCTGCATTAGTTTCTGTACTTTTCTTGGAGATATTTTTTAGAATATTTTTGCCTAGGTTTGAAAGAGAGTGACCAACTCAGGGTCACCCAGCTACAGTAGAATGGAATTAGAACTCACCCGCACCTAACTGACTCTCCTCAAATGAGTATACCAGAGAGTTATATGTTGAATTTAAATGTAGAAAGCAAGCTATTCATTAAAAAAATGTCTAAAGCTCTGGAAGCCTTGGTTAGCAGATACTTTCCTTTCAGAGACCACTGTTGCTTTTCTCTTCTAGGTGGCATTGATCCCATTGTCCGTGGCTTTATGGCAGACTATGCCAAGCTGATGAGGCAGGACCAGATGATGGTTGAGGAGCTTCAGGAACGGCTCTTTGAACAATTGCACTATATTGGTCTTGATCTATCAGCTCTGAACCTGCAGAGGGGTCGAGACCATGGTTTGCCAGGTAGAGTGATTTATTGTAAAAGTAGATTTATCATTGTCCTTTGAATAACAATTTAAGAAAGGCTGTCCAGATTAACAGAATAACAGAGTTGGAAGAGACCTTGGAGGTGTTCTAGTCCAACCCCCTGCTCAAGCAGGAGATATACCATTCCAGATAAGTGGCTGACCAGTCTCTTCTTAAAAACCTCCCATGATGGAGCACCCACAACTTCTGAAGGCAAGCTGTTTCACTGATTAATTATTCTCACTGTTAGGAAATTTCTCCTTAGTTCTAGGTTGCTTCTCTCCTTGATTAGTTTCCATCCATTGTTTCTTGTCCTGCCTTCAGGTGCTTTGGAGAATAGGTTGAACCCCCGCCCCCTTCTTCTTTTTGGCAGATATTGGAACACAGCTATCATCTCAACCCTAGTCCTCCTTTTTACTAGACTAGACATACCCAATTCCTGCAACTGTTCTTCATACGTTTTAGCCTCTAGTCCCCTAATCATCTTTGTTGCTCTTTTCAGAATCTCTACATCTTTTTTATAATATGTGACCAAAACAACACAGTATTCTAAGTGTGGCCTTACTAAGGCTTTATAAAGCGGTACTAACACTTCACATGATCTTGATTTTGTCCCTCTGTTAATCTTGGAGTCGTAATGGACAAACACTTAAATATGAGCCAGCAGTGTTCAGCAGCAGCCAAAAAAGCCAATGCAATCCAAGATCCCTAGTTACTGCTATTGAGCCAGGCTTCACTTAATCTCTACCTGTACCTTTGGTTTTTCTTGCCTATGTGTAAAGCCTTTTCTCTACACTGAATTTCATTTTGTTAGTTAGCTCCCAGTACTCAAGTCTTTCAAGATCCATCTGAATCTTGAGCCTATCTTGTGGGGTGTTGGCTATTCCTGCCAGTTTAGTGTCGTCTGCAGATTTTATGTCCCCTGCTATTCCCTCATCTAAATCATTTATGAAGATGTGCTGGGCAGGGGTGAAATGCTCCCGGTTCAGATCTGGTCGCCTGATCCGGTAGCAAAAATCCCTGCGCCACCCCCCCCACCCCACCGCCCAGCTGAGCCACATGATCATCAGAGGCTTTTTTTTTTTACTTTTAAAAGCATTTTTTCTACAAACTCTTCAGCCGAAAAAAATGCTTTTAAAGGTTAGAAAAAAAAGGCTCTGATGATCATGCGGCTCAGCTGGGATCGTCAGAGCCTTTTAGAAGCATTTTTTTTACAACCTCTTCGGCCAAAGAGATTGTAGAAAAAATGTTTTTAAAAGTAAAGAAAAAAAAGTTGGCCACATCCACCCATTCACATTACCCCCCACGAAGACATGCCCACAGAACCGGTAGTAACAAATTTCATATTTCACCACTGGTGCTGGGCCTAAAACAGAACCTTGGGGTACCCCCTACTTACTTCCCTCCATGTAGATGTAATTCCATTAATGTACACATTCTTGTCTTCCTTCTAACCTAATAGCTTCCAGATCTGGGGGGGGGGGACCATAACTCCCAGAGTTCTAAGAGGGCTAACTGATGAATTCTGGGAATTGCAGTCCCAGCATATCTGAAGTAGGAGAAGACTCTTTTACACTCTATGGGCATTTTTCCTTTCCTGTTACCCTACCTTGCCCTGCCCTGCCCAGACTCTATTGATATGCATGATTTCACTAGTTTTTAAAATAGACCCCAAATGAATCCCAGCCTGACAGAGATACTAAAAATATGCCTATTATGTAACACCATAATATGCCTATTATGTAAGATCCTATAGCATTCTGGAAATAATTGCGTGGGAAAGTCACCTTTTTTTTTTACATTCTTAAAAATACCGTATATACTCAAGTATAAACCGACTTTTTCAGCACATTTTTTATGCTGAAAAAGCCCCCCTTGGCTTATACTCGAGTGAGTAAATAAAATAAATGAAATAAATATTCAAAAATATTTAACCTACTGATGTCTCAATTAATGTAATTTTATTGGTATCTATTTTTATTTTTGAAATTTACCAGTAGCTGCTGCATTTCCCACCCTAGGCTTATACTCAAGTCAATAAGTTTTCCCAGTTTTTTGTGATAAAATTGTGTGCCTCGGCTTATAATCGGGTCGGCTTATACTCCAGTATAGAGGGTACATCAGATTTGTTTCCTCTTTTAAGCAAATCCAGCAACACAAGTAGGACCAGTTGCAACTAGGGATACCTGGGGAAGGGGAGTAAACTCAAGATGGCAGCTGTGAATATGCAAATACAACCCCACCCCCTTTTAAAATATGGGAACTTCCCTGTCCGTAATGATGATTTGTTTTTCCTTGTAGGGTACAATGCCTGGAGACGTTTTTGTGGCCTCTCTGCTCCCAGCAACGAAGCCCAGCTTGCTGTAGTCCTTCGCAATCGTAAACTGGCAAAGCAGTTCATCAAGCTTTATGGAACACCTGAAAATATTGACATCTGGATTGGAGCCATGGCTGAGCCCTTTGTCCCAAACGGGAGAGTGGGACCTCTCATGGCCTGTCTCATCGGAACTCAGTTTAGAAAACTCAGAGATGGAGACAGGTGGGCCTTTTTCAAATATATATCAAGAGAAAACCATATGCCACATTCAGATGGTGCCATGGATTTCATAAATATAATTGTTTTTGGTTTTTAAGTGATTGTGTGATATGGTAGTTTTAATTATCATTTATTTTATTTTGATCTTTGTCGTCTACCATGCATTTTGTAGCCGAGGTTGATGAGATTTGTCACTTGCTGAGCATCTTTTGACTAAGGTAGAAAGACATCTAATATATACATAGATAAATAGATAAACAAGCTTCAGATTTTCAGACTGTCTTGAGAGCTGAGCAAACAGTTGTGATTGACCTGATCAGCATTAGACTTCAGGATTTCCTTTGGCAGGATTTCCAGCTCCCTTTGCCTGTTTTCTCCTCTCTGTTTTCTCTTCCATGGCTTAAAGCAGGGCTGTCAAACTCAAGGCTCGCAGGCTGCATCTGGCCCATGGAAACAGTGAAGGACCAGGCCACGGTGCCTCTGCCAGGAAAAAAGGAGCTCGGGAGGGCAGCACGTGGTCCTCCCGGGCTCCGTTTTCGCTGACAGAGGCACTTTGGGCCGGTCCTTCGGTTTTCGCTGGCAGAGCGCTAGCAAAACAAACTAAAAACAAAACAAAAGGAGAAATGTTTCCCCTTTTGCATTTGTGCATGCAAGAAGGGACAGGAAAGGAGAAAGGGAAAGAGGAAAGACAAGGAAAAAGAAGGAAAGATGGGAAGAGAACAAGGAAGGAAAAATAAGGAAAGAGGGGAGGGAAGAAGAAAAGAGAAGGAAAAGGGAAGGAAAAAGAAGGAAAAAGAAGGAAAGGAAGGAAGGAAGGAAGGAAGGAAGGAAGGAAGGAAGGAAGGAAGGAAGGAAGGAAGGAAAGAAAGATTATAATGAGAAGGAGGGAGAATCTGAGGGAAGTCCTTCCTTAGCTCTTGGCCACCACAGGAACCCCCAACACGAGTGACGTCGAGCTGGCCACGCCCCCCTGGCTACACCCCTGCCTCCCCAGGTCAAACACAACCCTGATGCGGCCCCCAATGAAATTGAGTTTGACACCCCTGACCTAGAGCCTCCTCCTACAGTTATGCCTATTGTATTTTCAAATACAATGTACTTTTTATATTTTCAGTCAACTGAAATAGAACTAGGGCAGTGATGGCTAACCTTTTTGCCATCACATGCCAAAAGCAGAGGGAGCACAAGGAGGTCACGTGCATGCGTGCCCACACCCATAATTCAATGCCCCCCCTGTGCACTGCCCCCACGCATGCATGCGCGACCCCCCTACCTGCGCTTCCCCTGCTTTTGGCACACGACGGCAAAAAGGTTACTAATGGGCCCAGTAGGCCCCTTTTTCATCCTCCTCAGGCTCCAGAGGCTTTCTTGGAGCCTGGGGAAGGTGAAAACGGCCTCCCCCCCACACCCCGGAGGCCCTCTGGAGGCCGGAAACGACCCGTTTCTCAATTTCCGGTGAGCCCGGAAGGCCCAAAAATCAGCTGGCTGGCACACACATGCACACTGGAGCTGAGCTAGGGCAACGCTCACATGCCCACAGTTATAACTCTGTTATAGCTGCATGCAATCAAAAGCCGTAATAAAATATAGATGAAATACAAATCGGAAACCCCAAATGTGGAAAAGAACAACCATTCTAGCCCAAAGATAGACAAAGAACAGCCACTTACTTAAGAACCATGTTTTCAAGACTCTTTTAAACACAACTTAATTTGGGCCAGAGGAATTTTGAAGGGAGGGAGAGATGTTCTTCCAAAGCATAGATCAGGGGTCTCCAACCTTGGCAGCTTTAAGACTTGTGGACTTCAACTGCCTTTCTTGGAGGCAGAATTTCATGGAGGTTTTGCTGGTTGAGGAATTCTGGGAGTTGAAGTCCACAAGTCTTAAAGTTGCCAATGTTGGAGACCCCTGGCATAGGTGCTGCAATTGAGAAAAGTAATCAACAAGGAACAATTTAGGTAAACCAGGTTCCACTATCTTCCTGGCCTTTAAAGCCTGAAGGAAGATCCAGATTTTTAAGACTTTCTGAAAGGTCTTAAACAGATTTGTCGCCCCACTTGCCCTTCCTCCAGCAGCTGCCGGAACAGAGTGCCACACCAACCCACCTATTCCATGACCTTCCCAGCCCTAAGCTACCTCACAGGGCAGGCATCATTATAGAAAAGGCATGCCTCTTAGGCCTCATAGGATGACACTTCTTTATCAAACAGATCTGGAGCATGTCCACTTTGTAGTCCACAGATGTCTATCAAGTCTCCAGGGCCTGTGCCATGGAGGGCTTTAAAAGTGATGATCAGCACTGGAATTGCACCTGAAGAACTACTGGAAATCAGCTTAGCACATAACGTTGGTTCTAAGAGGACATACTTTGCTATACCCAAGCATTTGAGGACCAACTGCAGCTTCCAGATGCTTGTAGACTATTGAGAGCTTTATAGTCAAGTTGACTCTATACCAGGGCTAGGACATTCTGGTTTGGATTTTAGCAGTAATAATGACTTCTAACATTCTGCAGGACTCAAAGTTAGTATAACTACCATCTGTAAAACCATCACCTTATCGAAGAGTCCATTGCTAAGTAAGAGCTCTCCTGTTCCTCTTTTGGGTCAGCAGTGAACCATCAGTTCTAACTTGGAAATTGAATCTATTCATTTCTGAATTCATGGTGTTATAAACTCACCCAGGGGTCAGCAACCCGCGGCTCTGGAGCCGCATGTGGCTCTTTCATCCCTCTGCTGCAGCTCCCTGTTGTTGGTCGCCTCCACAATTGATAGGGCTTTCAGTTAGGACAGGTAGAGGAAAAAGGAAGCCGCGCTAGGAGGAGACTGTATGGTGGGGGAACCGACTTCCAGTCGGCAGAGGAAAAAGGACGCCGTGCTAGGAGATCCCATGGTGGGGGAACGGGACTTCCAGTCAGCAGAGGAAAAAGGATGTTGCACTAAGACAAGACTATGATGGGGGAACCGGACTTCCGGTCAGCTCCAAAATTGAACGGGGGTTTCCGGTTAGGACCTTTGTGGCTCTTTGAGTGTTTAAGGTTGCCGACCCCTGAACTAACCAAACAGGCTAAGGACAACGAGTTAAGTTACAAAGAAGTTAACTGAAGCTACAACTAACTATTCTTTCGGCACACTGTCAAGGCAGTCACCAAATTACTAACACTGAGGGTTTCTGATGGTCTCCCATAGAAATACTTCCAGGTACAGCCCAGCATAGCTTTTTATGATCAGCCAATATTATTAGTTGCTTCTCCCTGCTGTGACAATGTTCAGAAATGGTTTTCTATGATTAACCCTTCAGCTCTTGGCTCACTAAAGCATAATTTTTACTTGCTCAGGTCAATTTTATTATTATTTCTATTGTGATTCCCATCATCATTATTCATCTATTGCAACTTTTCACCTTTTTTTTTGGCAGATATTGGTGGGAGAACCGTGGAGTCTTTACCTCATGGCAGCGCCGTGCTCTGAGAAGTGATTCATTTTCCCGAGTCATTTGTGACAACACACACATCAAAGAAGTGTCCAGAGAAATTTTCCGAATGAACCGCTATCCAAGAGATTTTGTGAGCTGCTACAAAATCGAAAGTTTGGATTTGTCAGCTTGGAAAGAATAGACTCGAAACCAGAGCAGAAGGATGAGACAGGAAGTGTGGGATAGGACTTTGAGTCTGCATGGAGGACCTGGAACCCGGCTGACTGTAGCCCCTTTCTCTCATACTCTAAAACAGTGTTTCTCAACCTTGGCCGCTGGACGATGTGAATTCTGGGAGTTGAAGTCCACACATCGTCCAGCGGCCAAGGTTGAGAAACACTGCTCTAAAACATGAAACAGAATGATGCTAACCAGCTTCCACTGTCAAGGACAGGTCATTTTAGTACTATAAACTGGGTGCTGGGAATCAAATAAAATGGGGCAATTAACAGACCCTATAAGTAAATACATAATGAAATTGAGGCCTCCCTGTACAATATTGCATAATTGTTAGAATCCTGACTCATTTCCCCAACTACTGCATTTTCCTGAAGTGAAAAATATTTGGACCAGTTGTACTGAGTATTTCCAGATGGGAGCGGGGTGGGGGCCCCAAAAGGTCAGGATAACCATGCAGCCAAAGCCCTGTATCTTTTTTTTAATACATCAAGTGTGCAAAATTCTCAGCCCAACTCACCTCACAAGGATGTTGTTATGGGCAAAATAGGAAGAGGAAGTGTGTTGGATATGTTCACCACCTTATTTGTAAGAGTAATAAAGGCAGGGAGTTAAATAAATAAAATATGTAAGAAAAAGGTGAGGTTTTGACCACACAGTTGTAGGTGTCCTCTTGACTTTTTTGACCTCCTCCCCCAAGGATGTCTTGTTAGGAGACTTTTATAGAGAGTTAGTGCCTTAACTGAGCACTATTATGTTGTTGTCCATCAACTTTCCCACAGGAGAGGAACCTTCAACATAACTAAGTTTGTACTGGACAAGCTGATTCAATCTGAAATACATGCTACATCCTATAGGGTTCTACAGACCAAAACTAGCACTTTGATTTGTAGTCAGAACCTATTGGGAACTATTGCAGAGTCAGTACTGATGTTATGTGTGAATAGCGGCTTTCATCTGCCAACAAACAGGTTACTTCATTTTGCAACAACAGCTATTTTTGAGTAGTCTTCAATGATAGCACCATGTAAAGGGCATTCCAGTAATCTAATCACTATCTTGAGCTTCTGCTCCACAAAGCTATTTTGTTAGCCAACAATGAAAACTCAAACTTTGAATCAGATGCATTGTGTTAACTTTGACCCTTAAGAACAATCTGAATCAGGAGTAGATATTTTCATTCTCTTTAGAATAAGCTTTTTAATGGGGCTCTGAAAAATTTATAGACACGAAGCTGGATTTAAACACTTCTCTACAGTTATGAACACAAAGAACTGGCATTGGTTGGGCATCTTAGCACTGTCACTTATAAACTCTGGGTGTCGGTCAGTGGTGAGTTTCAAAATTTTTTACTACCTGTTCTGTGGGTGTGGCTTGGTGGGTGTGGCATGGCTTGGTGGGCGTGGCTTGGTGGGCGTGGCAGGGGAAGGTTATTGCAAAATCCGCATTTCTTCCCAATCAGCTAGGAATTGTGAGGCAGAGAATAGAGGGGGACGGGGCCAGTCAGAATTTTTACTACCGGTTTTCCGAACTACTCAAAATTTCCACTACTGGTTCTCCAGAACTGGTCAGAACCTGCTAGAACCCACCTCTGTTGTGGGTGTGGGCATATAATGTATATGGATTAACACCTGTTGCTTAAAATCAGTTTTGTATTCTAATAATTGCTTAGGCAAAGCTGGAAGAAAGATCTGATTATTTTTAAAGCGAATTGTTGATAGGATTGCATCATTAATAAAAATGGATGGATACAAAGGGCTGTGTCAATGCTTTTTCAATTCAGAAATATAAAAAGATAATTATGCCTATAGGCTGCTGTTTTATGTGGCACAATATTGTTTGGTTTATTCTTTTGGTTTTCTGTGAAATAGATCTCTCTAAAGCAAAATAAGTATTCATCCACCTTCATTCCTCTCCAGATTCAAACTTTCTGGATTAGAAGTGTGGAAATGAACACATATTTTTGTATATGTTTGATAAAAAGTAAATTCCTGGGTGAAATTTCAAGCATTTTTTTTTTTTAAATGCAGGGGATTACGGTATCTTTGTGCAGAGCCTTTCTTTTCACCACTGCTAGCATCCTTGTCTGACCTGGGGTAAATAACAAAGTTGTACATTCCACAAATTCTGTTCTATTCTGTCTCAAGAAGGGAATCGCAACAGTATTTCATGCACTCCACAAATAAAGAACCTTCTGTCAACCCTGGAGGCCATCTTTTTCTTTGGATCTTCAGGGCTGCCACACTTAGTGCTGTGGGAAAACGGGAGGGGGTTTGCATGGAGTTGGTGGAGATATATAGCCAGAACAACATTCCTTTCTCTGGGAGTCAAGGACGTTCAGCCTGCACCTGGAGAGGCGTGACTGGGGGATCATCTCCAGTTGGGACAGTGGATTGATTGGACCATGTGATGGACATGTGGGTGCAGGGGAAGGGACTTTGACTTTCCTTTAGGTGGGGAAGACCCGGGGGCTTTCATATTTGGGTTTTCCCAGATGTGTCAATATGACATCTCTAATAAAATGGGACTTTGAGGAATTGCTGGTCTTGGAGTCTTCATTGGTTGGGGGTGTTACTTGGAACCCTGACACCTTCTATAATTTGATTGCCTTGTATGTTTTGAAAAAGTGGACATCTTGAATATCACAGAGCGGCTGTTTTAATTTGGCATTCCTTTCTCATTGCTCCAGATTAAGCATAAGCAATGGCAGCAAGGGGAAAAAAGCTAAAGCAGGTTAAAGAACGCTTTCTCAAAAACAGAAATTCCAGGTTGCTGGCAGAACTTGCTGGGATGTTCTTCTATAGAGGAGAGAGAGAGAAAAAAACCAGAAAAATAGTTATGAATCTATTATAGGAACAAAACAACCAAGCTCAATAAGACCAATAGCTACTCTGGCATGTCTTCCACCCCACTCTATCCATTGTATTTCACCAAAATTCTCTCTTCTTTAAACGAAATGTTGAAAATTATTCTGCTTCATCAAATTAAATAGGAACTGGCAAAACTGAATTGCTGCTTGAACAGCAAAATGACAATGGTGCTTTAATAGGATAAACTGAATAAACCTATCCTCTGGAGAAGTGGATTTCTAAGTGAGGGAGGATGAAGAGGATAAGATAGAATTCTTGTTAATTTTCCTTTAAAAATTTGTGCACCGTAATGAATTTGATGTTGGTTTAGGAACAGGACACCGAACCTGCACTTGGTGCCAACCATAACAACACATTAGAAGCAATGGGGAAATCCAAATTATTTTACTACCGGTTCTGTGGGCGTGGCTTGGTGGGCGTGGCAGGGTAAGGATACTGAAAAATCCCCATTCCCTCCCCACTCCAGGGAGAAGGATATTGCAAAATCTCCATTCCCACCCCACTCTGGGGCCAGCCAGAGGTAGTATTTGCTGGTTCTCCGAACTGCTCAAAATTTCTGCTACCGGTTCTCCAGAACCTGTCAGAACCTGCTGGATTTCACCCCTGATTTAGAAGGTGACTTCTAACAAAACAGGCTTCTCTCATCTACACCCCCAATGACCTAACTGGGGATGCAGCAATCTACCTTCCTTTGTTCATCAGCCCATAGTGATTGCAAAAATCCAGGCAGAAGCTGCTTAAGATCAGTGTTAGGGAAAAAGATGATCCATAAGAGTTCAGATAAATGTAGGATCAAATCTGGGTTGGTTATCCAAGTTCCAAGGAAAAGCTCATAAATGCAAATTTAAAGATTGCATCAGAGGTGGTATTCAGCAGGTTCTGACCAGTTCTGGAGAATCAGTAGTGGAAATTTTGAGTAGTTCGGAGAACCTGTAAATACCACCTCTGACTGGCCCTGCCCCCATCTATTCTCTGCCTCCTGAGTCCCAGCTGATTGGGAGGAAATGGGGATGTCAGCGCTTCGACGCTGGCATAGAGAGCAGAGGAGACAGAGAGATAAGCTCTGAACTTTTGCCTGCTAAATCCCTTTGAAGTCGCGTTTTTGTGGAAATGAAGGGGGGAGACATTCCTGGGAAATGACGAGACAAGAAGTCTGAAGAATGACTTGGAAGATAGCCAATGAGAAGCAGAGATTTGGGGATTGGAAAGGGAGGGATTGGGGGGCAAAAGGTCAGTCTTGTCCGCATCGAGTCATGATCTGGTGGCTGTGCTCAATTAAAGAAAATATTTCCTTAAAGATTGGCAGTTTGGAAATTCATTTATTTTGAGATAGCATCGAAGTCTGACAGGGGATTTTGCAGTAACCTTAACCTGGAGTGGGGAGGGAATGGATATTTTACAGTATCTTTCCCCTGGAATGGGGTGGGAATGGAGTTTTTACAGTATCCTTCCTCTGCCACGCCTACCAAGCCATGCCATGCCCACCAAGCCATGCCTACAGAACCGGTAGTAAAAAAATTTGAATGCCACCACTGGGTTGCATAGTTGCGTCCAAAACCAAATGCATCTTACCTTCACCAATCTATTGAGGAGGCTTTTTCCATGGAAAGAGGCTGAGCCTTGGGAAGGCAGTGCAGTTGACAAAATTACGTGGATACTGGTTGGCGCGGAAAATGAACCGAGGTACCTCGCGGATGTAGGTATTGTCACAGATGACGCGTGCCAATGTGGCTTGGTTAAGAGCCTGTCGCTGGGCTGGGGTGAACACGCCAGGGTTCTCCCACCAGAACCTGAGGGGAAAAAAACCACCAGAAAAATTGTCTCATGAAGAGCAGCCTCTCAAATTTACAGAAACTTTCTTGCTGGAATGAAGCAATACAGAATGAAAGAGTTGGAAGGGATCTTGGGGACCTTTGTCCAACCCCCTGCTCAGGCAGATACGCTATACCCTGATGGCGAACCTATGGCACAGAGCCATATCTGTGGGCATGCGAGCGTTGCCTTAGTTCAGCTCCAGCGTGCATGCGCGCACCAGCCAGCTGATTTTCAGGCCTTCTGGTCTCACTGGAAGTTGGGAAATGGGCAGTTCCCAGCCTCCGGAGGGCCTCCAGGGGGTGGGGAAGGCCGTTTTTGCCCTCCCCAGGCTCGTAGAAAGCCTAGGGAGCCTAGGGAGAGCGAAAAATGGGCCTTCCGGTCCCACTGGAAGTCGCGAAACAGGCCATTTCTGGCCTCTGGGGGGTGGGGAAGGCTGTTTTCGCCCTCCCCAGGCTCCAAGAAAGCCTCTGGAGCCAGGGGAGGGCAAAAAACAGGCCTACCGGGCCCACCGTGCCATCACGTGCCAAAAGCGAGGGGAGCGCAGGGGGACGGGGCACATTGAATTATGGGTATGGGCACGTGCACGCATAACCCCCCGCATTCCCCCCCATTTTGGCACGCGACGGCAAAATGGTTACCCATCACTGCCCTATACTATTTCAGACAAATGGTTGACCAATCTCTTCTTAAAAACTTCCAATGTTGGAGCACGCGCAACCCATAAGCCATTCCACTGGTTAATTGTTCTGTCAGAAAACTTCTCCTTAGTTCTAGGTTGGTTTTCTCCTTGATCATTTTCCATCCATTGCTGAAGCCATTAAAGTGCCTGTTATTTCAGAGGACAGTCCTTTATTTCAGAAAACTGTCCTTTAAACGTATTTTTCAAAACCCCCACTTGTCCTTAATTTAGGTCATTTAACTTTTAACGCACAAATGGAATTACTTAATGCAGTCTTTAAAAAATGGATTTTTCCTCTTTAACAAGCCCTTTAAAATTGCTTTTAAAAATAAATTAGTATCTAACATATAATTTTAGATATTTTTATTAGAAGATGCGTTTTTGTAAAAAAAAAATTGGCTTTGCTCTTGAATTTTCCTTGGCAAAGCAAGTTTATGAACGTAAACAATTACAATTATTTATTTTTCAGAAGTTTATTCAGATTTATTTCAGAAGTTTATTCAGAAGTTTATTCAGCACAGCCGGCAGTTCTGATTCTCCTAAATAAAGTGCTGAACGGACCTCTCGCTGCTCGCATATTCTTTTCCCTGCGCCAATCTAACATGCCCTATATAGTAGAACCCAATAAGTAATGACTTCCCAACATTTAAAATCTATTTTATTTACTTAAAAGGAAAATTAATTTATTTGGGGAGGGGGGCTACAGGGAGGGCTAATTCCAGGGATGGTTTCAGCTGGAGTTGGTAACTCTAAGTTGATATGATGGGAAACAGAGCAAAACAGATTTTTGTCTGTGTTTATTGTGTATATAATGTTTTTAAGGGATCGTTTTCCTTCCAGGTTAATATAGTGTTTGGGAATACTGGGAACTGAACCTTATTCATTCAAAGCGTGTCTTCTACCCCTGAGTAGCAGCACAACTTTCTATTTTTCTTTTCTGTAATGAAACAAATTTAGGTTCATTTGCTATATAGTAGATCAAGCGGCCACAATAAAATAGCAGGTTTCATGTGCTCACCTGTCCCCATCACGAAGGTTTTGGAACTGTTTCCGAAAGATACATGCCAGTAGAGGCCCAACTCTGGCATTCCGGAGGAGGGGCTCAGACACCCCCCCAACCCAGAGGTCAATGTTCTTGGGTGTCCCATAATGTTGAATAAACTTCTTGGCCACTTGAGGATTCTGGAGGACCTGAGCCAGCTCAGTTTCATTGCCAGGTTGTGAGAGGCCACATAATTGTCTCCAGGCATTATAACCTATAGAACAAGAATAGTGGTCGAAAGTTCTGCTCATTTGAACAATGATGTTCACTCTAGTATCATTCTATGTTGCAATCTCAAAACATCTTTAAGGCTGAGCTTAATTTTCTACATTATTTTTGGCTATATGGCAGCACTCCACAATCTCTGATGTTTCCTGCAAAATGGGAACACTCTACTCTTGTTACCTGGTAGACCGTGATCTCGGCCACGCTGCATGTTCAATGATGGCAAATCCAATCCAGGTCCTGGAGGTTGTTGGAAGAGTCGGTCTCGGAGACCCTCTACTACTAACTGATCTTGTCTCAACAGTTTGGCTGGTGTACCTATTTGGCCTCGTAGAATGGGTTCAATGCCTCCTGAAAGAGAGAAGAAATAACTTTCAAAAGCAATGTCCATATGTAGATATCAACCAAACATGAGGAGAAATCTCAGCAATTGAGTGGATAGCCTTACAGGTCTTCACAGCTGAGCTGAAAAACTCTCCTGACAGTTCTTCAGCCAGCAGAAAATTCAATAGGTATAAAATTTGCTGATTTCCAGGCAACTCCAACCTTTATCAACAGTAGAGACCTTCAAATTTCTAGGTTCTACCATATCGCAAGATCTAAAATGGGCAGCTAACATCAAAAACGCCATCAAAAAAGCACAGCAAAGAATGTTCTTTCTGCACCAACTCAGAAAGCTCAAACTGCCCAAGGAGTTGCTAATCCAGTTCTACAGAGGAATTATTGACTCTGTCATCTGCACTTCTATAACTGTCTGGTTTGGTTCTGCAACCCAACAAGACAGACACAGACTTCAGAGGATAATTAGAACTGCAGAAAAAACAATTGCTACCAACCTGCCTTCATTGAGGACCTGTATACTGCACGAGTCAAAAAGAGGGCTGTGAAAATATTTACAGACCCCTCACATCCTGGACATAAATTGTTTCAACTCCTACCCTCAAAACGACACTATAGAGCACTGCACACCAGAACAACTAGACACAAGAACAGTTTTTTTTCCTGAATGCCATCACTCTGCTAAACAAATAATTCCCTCAACACTGTCAAACTATTTACTAAGTCTGCATTATTATTAATCTTCTCATCCTTCCCACCACCCATCTCCTTCCACTTATGACTGTATGACTGTAATTTTGTTGCTTGTATCCTTACAATTTATATTGATATTGTTTCCTGATTGCTTATTTGTACCCTATATATGACATTAAGTGTTGTACCTTATGATTCTTGATGAACGTATCTTTTCTTTTATGTACATGGAGAGCATATGCACCAAGACAAATTCCTTGTGTGTCCAATCACACTTGGCCAATAAAAATTCTATTCTATTCTATTCTATTCTATTCTATTCTATTCTATTCTATCCAACCTTTATGATGACAGGGCATATTAAGGACAAAAATTTGTGGATTCCCCTGGACTTCTTACTTCTCCCATAAAATATTACTGGATAGTGGGAAACACCCACTAAATGCTGTCCTTATTGTGGTGTGAAACCGAGATGAGGAGGAAGCTATAGTTAGATTTTGACAGCTAGATCAGCTGATTTAGCTATCAGTCAAGACTCAGTCAAATTTTCATACATGTTTTGTGTAGGTTCATTGAAGCAGAGACCTCTTTATTATTCCCAGTTATTTTTTTAAAATCTTATTTAAGTTTAAACATTATTTAATCTTAGAAGATTAATTTATTGATTTATATGTCCACCCATCTCATAGATAGTTAACAACTCTGGGTAGTTAACAAAAATAACAACAAAATAAACAGTAAAAAGAGCAAAATTTGAAAAATAACATTGATAGCCTAAAAGAGCAGTTGAGAACATTTACAACACCCCACATTCAAATAAATCATGAAGCCAATTCACCCATTCTGCTAGGGCACCAGGCAAAGCCAAGCTTTTAATGTTTGATGAAAAACCAGCAGAATCAGGGCAAGTCTAATCTCAGGGGGATGATATTTCAGAGGATCAGCACTATGGCAGAAAAGGCTGTGTTTCTGGATCAGATGAAATTCTCCTGTGGATGGGACCCGGAGCATGCTACTTGTTGCAATATTTTCAGGATCAGACTCAATAAATTTAGTAAGAGTTAAGAGTTCAAATATATCTCTCTTTATTTACACAAGGCATTCTATATTCACTGAATATTCACAGATAGAAGCCAGGAAAAGGGTGTATACAGCTCCTTATATATACAATGGGTGGAGCTAAGTATGGGAGTGGTGAATTATGAATACATTAAGAAGTGAAGAATAAATTAACCCCTGATACCCCATTCATATACTATTTAGACATTAGAGAATAAGGCATTTACATGTGACACTACTCCTGTTGGACATAACAAGATGGGTACTAGACACGAGTGGAGAGAGTATAAATAATCCAGCTTTAAATTATGAAGGGCTTTAAAGATAGCCACTAACACTTTGAATTTATCCAGAAGTATACCAGTAGCTAATGCAGCTCCCAAAGCAATCATGTCTCACATGCCAAACAATTAACATCCACGATTGTCTGTGCCATTACAATTTGCAGCAGATTAAGCTTCCACATACTTTTCATCGGCAGCCCCATGTAGAGCATGCTGTAGTAATCCAAACAAGATATGACTAAGGCATGAATTATTGTGAGCTGGGCCTCTTAGTCCAGGAACGTACACAATCAACACACAACACAAAACTACGCAAAGACCCTTGTGGACACAACTACCATCTACTCCGAGCAGCACTTGCATATTCAGGAGAACTCCCAGATCGTGCTATCCAAGAACTAACCAGGTCCATTTCAGCTTAATTGTTTGAGATCAGCCAAAATTGGCCGCTTGCTGGGACTTACCTTGGAAGATAATTTTCCATGTAGCAAAGAACTCATTTTCTAAGGGTGTTTCACTCAGAACTTGGTAACGGCTGTTTAAGCGAGGCACAGTGGGCCGCACCAAAGTATGCCCAAAACGGAAAGCATTGGTAAAGGAGCTGGCAATTCGGGGATCCACAGAATCATTGTAGCCCCTGTAACGAGGCAGAGCAATAGTCTCCCCCAGCACGGCAGGTATATATTCTGTATAGGTGATTTTCTGGAGCAAAAGGACAAAAAGAAGAGTCATGGGCCTATTGGAAGAAAGCAATTAATTCAGGCAAACGATTATCGAATATTAGAAGCAGAAGACCAGTCTTCCTCAACATGATGCTATGAGGTTTGTTCTTAAATATATATGTTTTGTATATACTTATTTGGCTTCTATCTCTTTTGCAGGCTTACAACAAGACAGAATACAGATAGTCCTCGACTTACAACAGTTCGTTTAGTGACCGTTTGAAGTTACAATGGCACTGAAAAAAGTGACTTATGACCTTTTTTCCCCACACTTGACAGTTGCAGCATCCTCATGGTCATGTGATCAAAATTCAGATGCCTGGCAACTGATTCATATTTATGACGGTTGCAGTGTCCCGGGATCATGTGATGATGACCTTTTGCGACCGTCTAACAAGCAAAGTCTGTGGGGAAGCCAGATTCTCTTAACAACCGTGTTACTGACATGTTAAGTGAATCCCTGCAGTTATTAAGTTAGTAACATTAAAGCTTTCTTTTTGATAACTCCTTTGGGGAAAGCCATTCCTAGGAGAGAGACTTGTTAGCTGGGAAAACCTCATTCATACCTACAAAGAGTGACAAGCATGCATTAAATGAAAGACTGCTTGGGAACATCTTTACAGTTAAGGTTAGGCCAGGGGTCAGCAACCTGTGGCTCTGGAGCCGCATGTGGCTCTTTCATCCCTCTGCTGTGGCTCCCTGTCACTCAAAATATGCATCACAACTGCCAATGTGTGACACCCGCCAGCACGCAATTTATTGAGCTTTTCAACCCTCGGTAGGCCAACCATGGATAAATCCAAGAAAAGAAAGGTTTCAGAAGAAAACAGGTTTAATTCAACTACATATGCTAGTTTTGTGGCTGCTCAAGAAATAGTCAGGCACGGGAAGGGTTTTGTGGCTCCCGGTGTTTTCTTTTCTGTGGGAAACGGGTCCAAATGGCTCTTTGGGTGTTTAAGGTTGCAGACCTCTGGGTTAGGCCAAACATTTGATGGCTGAAGGCCACCGATAGAGTAGAGGTCTTCAACCTTGGCAACTTTAAGCCTGAAGGACTTCAACTCCCAGCAAATCTGGCTGGGGAATTCTGGGAGTTGAAGTCCTCCAGGCTTAAAGTTTCCAAGGTTGGAGACCCCTGCCATAGAATACCTTGTTGGCAAAGACAGTTTTAAAGAAATTTTAAGATGTATTCAACTTCACAGAGTTGTTGGGGCGGGAGCACATCACAGAGAGAGCATTACTTACGTTATCTGCTAGGGGAAAGGAGAGATCGAAATTGAAGAGATGAATGCAGATAGTCCTCAACTTATAACCATTTGTTTACTGACAGTTCAAAGTTCACTGAAAAAAGGGACTTCTGATTGGCTGTCACACTTACGACCATCGCAGCATCCGTGATCAAATTGAGATGCTTTGCTTTATGATAATTGCAGCATCCCAGGGTCATGTGATCCCCATTTGCGACCTTCCCCGCCACCTTCTGACAAGCCAAGTCAATGGGGGAAGTCAAAATTTGCTTAACGATCATGTGAATCACTTAACAACTGCAGTAATTTACTTAACAATGGTAGCAGAAAAGGTCACTTAACCACCTTATTAGCAACATAAATTCTGATTCCAATTGTGGTTGTAAGTTGAAAACTTCCTGTAGATAAACAACTAAATTCAGAGGGCAGGTGTCATGCTCAAGTCATTCAGTGTTCTACCCTAATGGTCTTACCCTATAGCCGTGATGGCGAACTTGTTAGGATGTGTGTAAAAAGTATTTGTTGCTTGTGCAACGAGCAGAGCAGAAACACACAGGGAAGGAGATAAACGTGCAGCTCGTGTGAGAAAAATACTTTATATACAAGATAATAAGCAGTCTCGGTGTAGGTAAAACAGTCCAAGGTCATAAACAGTAATATCAGTCCAGTAAGTATCTTCCCTTACCAAAGCAAACAGACTTTAGTAACTCTTGGTATACAGTACCATATAACAATTCAGTCTAACACCAATCAGCAGAAAGACGCAGGAAGCAACAGGAACAATCAGGAACAACGAACGCTTCTCTGCGCTGCTTATTTATGCACTGTAGCCTAATTACAGGGTTCAGCAAACCCTGATTACGTGGCTCGGTTGTTTCTTAAAGAAACAGATATATTGCCTGACCAACAAGTTAGGAGTAAGCTACAAGCTGAACCTAACAGAACCTATGGCACGAGTGCCAGAAGTGGCACACAATGCCCTCTCTTTGGGCACACAAGCTGTCGGCCCAGTTCAATTGTGCCATGCATGCACGCTGGCCTCCCATAAGCCAGCTAGTCTTCAGATCTCTGCCGCGCATGCACAGGGGTGGGGCACATACTGGGGGGTGCACACATGCGCAGGGGCGCATGCAGGGGACCATGCGTGCATGAGTAGGGGGTGGGACGCATGCTGAAGGGGCGCATGCACATTGCATTTTGGGGGTTCGGGCGCACCTGCATGCAGTCAGGTGTGCGTGCCCACGCTTTCAGCACTCGGTCCAGAAAAGGTTAGCCATCCCTGCCCTATAGAAAGGGTGAGGAGCATGGCTGGCTCAGGATTCTGGGAGTTGAAGTCCACATGTCACAAAGGGGCCATAGTTCCCTAACCCTGCTCTGTAGGACTGGTTACTCTGGGCTGCACAAAGCAGTTAAGCCACTTACCGTATTTTTCGGAGTATAAGACGCTCCGGACTATAAGACTCACCTACCTTTTTTGGTGAGGAAAACAAGAAAAAGAAATCTGCCTCTGCCTCCCAGCAATTTTGCCTCGTGCAGCAAACAGCCTGCTTTACTTTCATTTTCGTTTTCAGCATAGCTTGATTAGCACAAGAAAAAAAATCTGCTCCCAGCAATTTACCTCCTTGCAGCAAGCAGCAGAGGCCCGTGCAGCAATAGGCAATGGCAATCCCTGCAGCCTGAAACAGCTGAGAGTCGGGGACAATCAACTTGTGTTAATTAGGTTGTGCTGAAACTGAAATGGGCTGCTTCTTCTTGCTGCTTGCTGCAAGGAGGTAAATTGCTGGGAGGCAGAGGCCAAAAGGTGGGGGCCAATGGGTGGGCGGGGCTACATTCAGTGTATAAGATGCACCCAAATTTTTACCCCCTTTTAGGTGGGGAAAAGGTACGTCTTATACTCCGAAAAATACAGTAAATAGAATTGTGCCTTTGTTTTATGTAAAAGAGTTATGGAACTATTCATCCCACACCTGTATCAGTGCTCCCACGATTTTCCGGGTCTCCTGATAGATTTCTTCTCCACGCATTTGTGAGTTCAGCCTCTTCAGCTCAGTGGCCAAACGGTTGTGCTCCCGCATGAAAAGCGTTTGCAATGCAATCAACCCTGGCATTTCATTGACTCGATTGTCACCTTTAAAAGTCAGAATAAGAAAGCATCATTGCAACAGAGATGTCATAAATCAATATTTCGTTCCAAGTGAGGAGTTTGAACAAGAAGCAGATATTTGGAGGTGTGTGTGTGTATGTCGCCAAAAAAGATAGCTTGTGTAAATCTTCTCTAGTGAGTGAAGGGAAAGGGTTAATATGTCATGCAAATAACCCCAGCCAGCATGCAATTTAGAGGAAGTTAATTTTAGCTTCTGCAAGGTATGTGAAGCTAAGCTTCGCAGCTCATCCATATTGTCTAGATCTCCCCAATTGTATAATTTTAATTTGGATTTTTAAATGGGGGATTTTAACTGTTGGGCCAAATTGTTTAATATATTTTTAAATTGTTTTTTAAATTTTGTATTTGATGTTTTTTATTTCTGGCTGTTCACCGCCCTGAGTCCTTTGGGAGAAGGGCGGTATATAAATTTAAATATTATATTAAATTAAATTAAATTAAATTAAATTAAATTAAATTAAATTAAATTAAATTAAATTAAATGAGTGACAGCAGCTCTCCAAGTGTCCGCAGTATTCAGATCCGCCTTTTACACAATAACAGAGTTGGAAGGGACCTTGGAGGTCTTCTAGTCCAACCTCCTGCTCAAGCAGGAAACCTTATATCATTTCAGACAAATAGTTGTCCAATCTCTTGTTAAAAACCTCCAGTGATGGAGCACCCACAGCTTCAGGAGGCAACTGTTCCAGTAATTAATTGTCTGTCAGGAAATTTCTACTTAGCTTAGGTTGGTTTTCTCCTTGATTAGTTTCCATCCGTTGCTTCTACTCCTGTGTTCAGGAGCTTTGGAGAATAGCTTGACTCTCTTTTCTTTGTGGCAGCCTCTGAGATACTGGAACACTGCTATCATGTCACCCCTGGTCCTTCTTTTCATTAAACTAAACAATTCCAGCAACCGTTTTTTTATATGTTTTAGCTTCCAGTCTCCTAATCATCTTTTTTGCAGCTGTCTATTCCTTTTATCTCTTCCTGCTATCCCTTTCACTAGGTGTGACTTCAGTTTGCAAAAGCAGCCCCAAAGAAATGGTGCACCTTTCAAATAACTTACCTGCCAAAAAACAGGGGATTCCGAGGGTTGCATTTGTTACATTGCAATTTTCCCGAAAGCCTTCAGGATTGCCAAAGGGGAGAAAGGAAAGGCCTCGATCGTTGAACCTGTTATTCACAGCCAACAGTCCTAGGTCGTTTGTGAAATTTCTTAGCTGCATTGCCCACTTGTCTTCACTGGCATATACCATACTGGCATCAACAAAGGATGTGAGTGCATTGATCTGGTTGCGGATGGCATAGCCACCGTTGCAGGCAGGAGCTGAACGGGTAAAGGGCATGCACTCACGCTTTTGTGTAGGATCACCGGGTGGGATCTAGAACAAAAAGATGAAGAGGAGCTTAAATTCCCAGGTTCAAAAAACATTTCCTTTATTTTGCCAAGCAGAGGAATATGCCAAGCAAAGGAATATCCAACATCCTGCAGTTTTACAGGATATTGTAGATAATGGTACAGTAGGCACTATTATCCTCATGCTTTCCCTCTTTCTTCCATTAATATTTAAAAGGAACACACAACACAACAGAGGCATGCTTGGAAAATGTATAAATATGATCCAATTCTGGAATGAGTTACTTTTGGTGATGGGTTTTGGACTTCAACTAGTAGTGGGTTTCACTTACCTTCGCTACCGGTTGGGAACTGGGAGCGCACGTGTGCGTGCGCTTGCTTTGCTCGCGCACAGTGCTTCTGCACATGCACAGAACCTTCTGCACATGTGCAGAGCGTCCGTGATGACATCTGGGTGGGCGGAGCGTCCCGCTGTCACCGCTACTGGTTTGTCCGAACCGGGGCGAATCAGTACAAACCTACCACTGACTTCAACCCCTATCAGCCCGAGTAATCATGGCCACATAAGTGAGCCTCTGAAGCTCTTCAAGTCAGATCAGGAGGTTAGATCTAGTAAGCATGCTGGCTCAACAATGCTGTCTTTTTTAATATGTTTTTAATAAGAAAACAGTAGCAGACTAATGCTACTGTTAAAGGTAGTATTTAGCTTCCAGCTGCCTGCAATTACTGCGAGTTCAATTCTCACCAGGCTCAAGGTTGACTCAGCCTTCCATCCTTTCTAAGGTAGGTAAAATGAGGACCCAGTTTGTGGGGGCAATAAGCTGACTTTGTATAAAATATACAAAAGTATGAAGGCTATAGCTTAACGCATTGTAAGCCGCCCTGAGTCTCTGGAGAAGGGCGGCATATAAATAAATAAATAAAAATTTGTATGGCTGCCCAACTCATTCACATTGGACTCTGGGGGGGCTTACAAAGGTAAAATCCCAGTACAAAAACCAATAAACCCCCATGTACCTAGTGACAAAAATCAGACCAGCCACTTAATGGGCTCCATGTGACTATGGGGTCCCCAGGTCCATTGGCAGAACTATGTTCTGTTTCATGACCCACGGCTAGGCACGGAAGCAACACAGCCAGAACGAAGGCTTAACTCCTTTTTATTGCGCCAACTTCCCCCCAAAAGTCCCACCGCTCACTGCAAGTCCAGGAGCCAAGCTCTAAACACGCACCTCCAATAGTTCCTGGGTGCTATAAGTCTAGAAGAGCAGTACAATTCTGAGAGCAGCCACAGTTCAAGGAATTTGGTTCCAGGGAGTCCTCATCACAGGAAGAGTTCAGTGGGCCTGCAGCACAACCCAGAGCAAAGCTGTGTCGCTGCGAACTCGTACAGAGCCAGGCCAGTCAAGCAAGGCAAGCAGGCAGGGATGAAATGCTCCCGGTTCGGATCAGATCGCCCGATCCAGTAGCGATGGCGGCAGGTGGTTCGGAGAACCGGTAGCAAAAATCCCTGCACCCCCCCCACCGATGTCCGCGCGATCATCAGAGGCTGTTTTTTTTTTTTTACTTTTAAATGCATTTTTTTCTACAATACCTTCGGCAAAAAAAATGCTTTTAAAAGTAAAAAAAAAGCCTCTGATGATCACGCGGCTAAACTTGGATCGTCAGAGGCTTTTAAAAGCTTCTGGATACTTCTCAAGGGCAGCACCATGTAGAGCATATTGCAACAATCAAGATGGAAGGTGATTAAGGTGTGGTTAACAATGAGCAGATATTGTTGGTCCAGGAAAGGGCATAATTGAGTAGGCTGTAATGGGTCCAGGAAAGGGGATAACTATATGAATAAGAAATGTTGAAGAAATCCTGTCTTGATTTTTTGGGGAGAAACTATATAAATTTATATAAACTATATAAATTTATATAAATAAAAAGTTGAGGATTCAAAGACTCCTGTACTTTAATGACTTTGGACAAAATAGTCATTTATGATTAAACATTCTCTCTTTTTTTCTTCTAGAGCACAAAGTGAGTTATATACTACTCCCTCTTCATTTTTAAGGTTGCCTGGGCTAAGAGAGAGAAAGAGTGGTTGGCCCAAAATAACCCAGTGAGTTTTAATTGCCAAAAATGACTAGAACCTGGATCTCCCCAATGGCAATCCAGCACTTTAACTGTTAGGCCTGTTGGGATCTTCTTTGTAACCCACTGAACAAAATTAAATGAGTTTTATCTATTATGCATTTAGAGGCAGCCAGTAACAAAATACCAAAATATGAACATCTCAAACAAACTAGCATAACTGTAGTATTTCTGACAAAGAGCAGAGGAGACTCTTGCCCAAAGTGTCATTAGGAAGCCCAGATCCTTATGAATCTCACTGTTAATTTAATCATGCTTTCCTCTGGATCTAGTCTATCAAGCAGAGCAGGAAATGCTGGACATGTTCTATCTCTTCGCTTGCACATGCTTAGAATAGACACCAAGGGAGTGGACAGGGAGATTGAGATAAAAATGGAAAAGCAGAACTAGGAAGCATTGGGAAGATGAAGAACAGAGGCTGACAAATTTAAGTGGTTGGCAGTAGAAGCCCTGAAAGTATGAAGACTCAGGAATTCCCTGCTGATGAGCTTTCCACTCATCCTCAATATCTATGGAGATTCTCAGTCATCCAGGTTATGGTTGTCCCAAAGGTGCTTTTTGAAGAGACAACTGGATGTTCTTTGTTTTTGAAGACATTTCTTCAAAATTCTTCAATTCTGACTGAAGGGTGGAGACTGGAAAGATTTATATTCCTTGCAGTCATCTGATGGTTAGCACTCTCTCTGAGAGTTGTTGAGGTCACTTGGAGGTTTATCAGTCAGAACTGAAGAAGCTTCTTGGAGGAGAAGCGAAACGTTTTCAAGGGAAAACAAAGAAAATCCAGTTGCCTCTTGAAAAAGCACCTTTGGGACACTCATCCCGAATGTCTCTTGGTAGTTTGCTAATCCATGCAGAATTAGATTCAGAATTTCTCATACCTTGATTGGAAAACACGGCGGCGCTTTCTCACAGCTTTTCCCACAATCTAATCCTTTTATGAAGGTGAGGGTGGCTGTCACAGAAGGTCCAAAATCCAAATCATGATCAATAAACTGCCCCCATTGCATAAACAAGACTGAGCGGAAGGGATCATTAGTGACGTTCACATTAGGGAAGAAGACGATGTCATTGGATACAGCCCGGACCTGTTACCAAGAAATTATTATCAAGAATGGCAGAGACAGAAGGAAAGGAAAGGGGTTTATGAAACCTGGAAACAACTACAAATCACTACATGCTAATTTAGGAGAAGGAATGTAAAGATATACTTTCACAAACTGCCAATGAAATCATCTAGGACAGTGGTTCTCAACCTGTGGTCCGTGGACCCCTGTGAGGCTGCGAGGTCCTCCATGAATGCTTGAAGAAATGATTTATGATTTAAATCTTGGGGGTCCAGTCCATGGCCACAAAAGGTATTTAAAGGGGATCCATGGTGAAGAAAAGTTTGAGAACCACTGCTCTAGGAGTCTCGTTCTTGATGGGACAAGAGAGAGGAATGACTTCACAAGGTCTTCAGGCAGAAGACTTAAATACAAATGGCTGGCATCCTGGAACGTCATTAAAAGCAATTAACTAAAAGGATTAAATAAAAAGGTTTATCTAATTATCTATTGTCTAACCTTATATTTTATTATTGTATCAAATATATTACTGTGTTTCCCTGAAAATAAGACCCATCTTATATTTTTTTGAACCCCTAAATAAGTACCTGGCCTTATTTTCGGTGAGGTCTTATTATTCTGGGGCGCATGGAGCAAGAAGGGGCTCCTCTTGCCGTCTTACCTGATTTCCAGCTCTGTCTCCCTAACCCTAACCAGAGGAAACAGCGGGAATTGGCTGCGCATGCTGTTAAATATTTTTGAGGAGGGCTTATTTTTGGGAGGCCTTATTTTGGGAGGGCTTATTTCAGCGCATGCCCTCAAAAGCCCAATTGGGTTTATTATCAGGGGATGACTTATTTTCAGGGAAACAGGGTATTTGCTAATTATTACGATTAGGTATTTGAATTTCAGAGGCCTTATATATGGGACCTGCGATAGAACATTTCAATCTGAAGTCCTTCTGAGCAGCATCCAGTCAAATAATCAAGTCTTTTTTTCAGGGTGCTTGGTTCTGTTTTGAGAAAGCTTCAGTAGCCTGCAGATGCCGAGCAGATTAAATCATCATGAGATTGTCTTATTTCTGCCCTCTTGTTTATTCTTCCCTTAACTTTATTGTTGTTTTTCTCCTAGGGCTTACAAAATATTTTTATGTGCACGGTGCCAACGATGCATTTAAACGCCAGATCTCTACTCTTATGCCGGATTAGCAATTTAGTTGCCAAGCACCCAAATTTTGATCACATGACCCTGGGATGCTGCAAGGGTGTTGCAACTTCATAAATATATAAGTGTTGTAACTTCAAGCAGTCAATAAACGAATGATGGTAAGTTGAGGACTAACTGCATTTCAAAGACAGCACAGCTAGCATGCTGACCTAGTAGGACGTGATCATAATAAAGTCATCCAGATTGGTTTTTCAAAGAACATACCAATGCCGTGCTATAAATGACACTGTATCTCCCTCTTAATTGGTCTTGTCTTTGAAATATAATAGACCAAGGGTCTAAATAGTGGTTGTGATTTTGTTCAGGGCTGCTCAGCAAATTGAAGCCCAATGTGCACCATAGTTGTTTGATAATTGATATATTTATGTTATATCTTCAAAGTTTATTTAAGTGAGTCAGGATTTGACCACAACAAAATTTCTATCTTTTCATTTGCAAAACTATAAGATACGATTCTTCATGAAAATCCCTCTCTATTCCTGTTTTTTATTGCTGTAACTAATGTACAAAAGCACCAGATCATGTATAGGCCTTAAATTCTACCTGGATCACTTCTTCTCTGGCAGACAAATTTAGGACTCCTTAGTTCATTTCTGGCTACGATACTTCAATTACATCAATTATTCCATTTCTCTAATCTCCTTGCCTCAACTCTTGGTTTCTCTCCTCCCTTCCAATTGTTTTTCTCCCTTAAAATCCTGGATCCTTCCCTCTGTTCAAACTAAGCATCCTGGAATTAAATAGGGATTATATCTTACTAAGGGCAGAGGATGTCCAAAATACGGTTTCGTTTCTGTCCAGCCACGTGGGAGAGATATGCCATCTTCATATTCTTGAGGCAGCCACCTGACATACGGACGGTTGCTAGATCCCAAAGTAGGAATTCTCCTGCAATATTTCGTTAAATCCAAAAGTTCATTTAGAAGGGAGTTTTTAAAAGCAATAAGACTTGGTTTACACACAATGCTAACCCTTAAAATCCAGTAATAAAGTTCAATTGCATTCACACGTGTTGCGGCAAATACATCATCCATATTCTGATTAAGTATTGAGGTTTAGTTTCAGAAGAAAGTCCAATATGGATAAGTCCTCATTTGAGGTAAAAATGGAGTAATTACCTCATTTGAGGTAAAAATGGTAATTGCCTCATTTTAGGACTTTTCTTGCCACCAAGAAAAGTGTTAAGTGAATCACTGCAGCTGTTAAGTGAATTTGGCTTTCCTTGTCAGGAGGTCACCAAAAGTAAATCACATGATCTGCGACACTGCAGCTGTCATAAATATGAGTTGGTTGCCAAACATCTGAATTTTAATCACGTGACCATGGGGATACTGCAATGGGCGCAAATGGGGAAACGGTCAGAAGTCACTTTTTTCAGGGCCATTGTAACTTTGAACGGCCACTAAACAAACTGCTGTAAATTGAGGACTACCTGTATTTGGATTCTCATATGTTGAATTACAAACTGAGATAGAAAAGATGCCAGGATGACCAGCTTCTTCCTGAGGATGGTATACTAGCAGACTTCTTGGCAATGGGCATGTCATAAAAGTGATTTGGCTGTCTCTTTCCAGGAAACTTCTTGAACTTCCTTGTCTAGACAACCTGTATCCAGTGGTGGGTTCCTCCTGGTTCGCACCAGTTCGGAAGAACCGGTAGTAAAAATTTATAGTAGTTTGGAGAACCAGTAATAACATTGGCTGGCCACACCCCCAAACTGGTCCCCGGCCTGGTCACCGCTTGCTTATCCCGCCCACCTCATCAGAAGCTTTTTTTTTTTTACTTTTAAAAGCATTTTTTCTACAACCTCTTCGGCCGAAAAAATGCTTTTAAAAGTTAAAAAAAAAAAAAAAGCCTCAGACGATCAGGCAACTCAGCTGGGATCGCCAGAGGCTTTTAAAGGCATTTTTTTTCCCTACAACCTCTTCAGCTGAAGAGGTTGCAGAAAAAAATGCCTTTAAAAGCTTCTGGCGATCCCAGCTGAGTTGCCTGATCGTCAGAGGCTTTTAAAAGCATTTTCTTCTGCAACCTCATAAGGTTGTAGAAAAAATACTTTTAAAAGTTAAAAAAAAAAAAGTTGGCCATGCCCATCCAGTCACATTACCCCCCATCAAGCCACACCCACAAAATAAGAACCGGTAGTAAAAAATTTTAGAACCTACCCCTGCCTGTATCCCACCCTAAACGGGTCCAAAGTCACCCAAGATTGGCAGGTGTTGACTTCTATTGCCAATTCCATTCTAGTGTAAACCTAACTGAACAATAATAGCTGTTCTACAGGGAAGAGGGCTGGTCATGGAGAGCCAATTAGACCAGGGCTGTCAAACTCAAGGCCCGCAGGCAGAATCAGGCCTACAGGGTACTTAGAACTGGCCCATGGGGATGCCCTGGGAACAGCAAAAGACCAGCCTGCGGTGCCTCTGCCTGCAAAAATGGAGCTCAGGATGGCCGCGTGCGACCCTCCCGAGCTCTGTTTTTGCTAGCAGAGGTTGCAGGAGGCCATCCCAGCTGAAAACCTAGCTTGTGAGCCCGTTTTTGCTAGCAGAGTGCTTGGGCCACCAAAGGCGTCCCCGACATGAGTGACATCAAGCTGCCCACATCCACCCTGGCCCCCCTGGCCCACCTCCGAAGGTCAAACACAACCCTGATGTGGCCCTCAATGAAATCAAGTTTGACACCCTTGAGCTAGGCTGACACTCCACACCTGAAGAGAGCTTGTTCCGGATTCAGTAACTGATTTTATTCATCATGCTCAGCTTTAGTTTATTTAACCTTAGTTTGTGGGATAAAATTCAACTGGTTGAGTTGACAGAACACATCTAGTTTGTAAGTGCCAACTTCAGAGATTGCACATTTTGGAGAATTTCGGAATGTTTTATTTTTTGCCAGACCAGATCATTCTCATCAGTTGAGGGCAGCCCTAATGTCTTCCAGGAATAAATCTCCCAACAAAAAGAAATGGTTCATGCCATTCTAGACATGGTCAAGTCCCAATGACCTCACTGTTGGAGTGCAAGCTTCCATGGGGCAGCCGGATGACTTTCTTAGGCCTTTCCCATCATATCCTCTTAAGCACAATAGGTTAGGGCCAAGAGCATATACTCTTGCATGTGCAATAGACCACAGGTGTCAAACTCACCATGTCACGTGACGTTTTGTGACATTTTCCCCCTTTGTGGAGCTGGGGTAGGTGTGGCCTTCACGTGACACATCTGGCCTGCCAGTTTGACACCCCTGCAATAGACTCTACTGAAAGAGTGGGAAGATAACCTATGACCCAGGCATCTTTTGAAGCCTCTTATGACCAATGCTTGATCAATGGTCAGAAACTGATGCTACATTTTCTGGCCATTTTGAGATGAGCAACGGATGAAAACCAGGAGTGCTATTCAGCAGGTTCTGACAGGTTCTGGAGAACCGGTAGTGGAAATTTTGAGTAGTTCAGAGAACCAGCAAATATTACCTCTGGCTGGCCCCAGAGTGGGGTGGGAATGGAGATTTTGCAATATCCTTCCCCTAGGAGTGGGGAGGGAATGGAGATTTTGCAGTATACTTCCCCTGCCATGCCCACAAGCCATGCCCACCAAGCCACACCCACAGAACCAGTAGTAAAAAAAAATTGAATTCCACCACTGATAAAACTAATGTAAGTCTTAAACTAAACATCACAGTTTTTTTAAAAAAGGAACCCAGAATTATGCCAATGAAGAGACGACCCAGCTGATGGACGGGGTCCCCTCTCCCCCACTCTTGGAAACGAGGCGTGGGGGATGAAGATTTTATGTGGTTGTGTGTCATGTTAGTTTTTGTTTTATGTTATTTGTATGTTTTATATTTTTATTATTTTTTTTATGTTATGTGTTGTCTATATATATTTGTTTGGGTTTTGGGTCACGGAAAGGAAAAAGAGGGAATAGTTAAAATTAAAAATATTAATGGGGATAATTAAGGTAATGACTTGGAATGTTAAAGGTACTGGGAATCAGATTAAGAGAAGACGTTTAGAATTTAAGATTAAAAGAGATTCTCCTGACATACTTTTTATGCAAGAAACTCATCAGAAATCTGAAGATATAAACAGGATGTATTTAAAAGGGATGCAGGTTTATGAAAAAGCTTTTGGGTCCTCAAAATCTAGAGGTGTTGCAACATTAATATCAAATAGAGTCCAATTTGAAAAAAACAAAGTAATAGCAGATATTGATGGACGGTATTTGATAATAACAGGATGTATTAACGAGGAAAAAATAACATTAGTTAATTTATACTCACCAAATGTGAATCAAAAAGATTTTTTGAATAAGATTACCGATTTGTTGCAAACTGAAAGGGTAGGGAAAGTAATTATTGCTGGTGATTTTAATTTAATTAGAAACCAGATGGATAGTACCAATCCTACCCGATATGGTAGAATAAGAAAAATGGGGATACTTGATAATTGGATGTTGCAAAATGGTGTAGTAGATGTTTGGAGGGAGATTAAAGGTAACGAAAGAATGTATACTTTTCACTCAAAGGTATTTAATTCATATTCAAGAATTGATTATATTTTTGTATCCAAGAATCTGATGGATAACGTGGACAATATGGATGTTGGAATATTTAAAGACTCTGACCATGCAGAATTGTTATTAGAATTAGATATGTTTTTGAAGAAAAAAGAAAATTGTTGGAGATATGATGAAAAATTATATAAAAACGAGGAAGATAAGAATCATATTCTTAAGAAATGGGAAGAAAATTGGGATTGGAATGATAATGGGGAAGTTAATTATGGAACAGTTTGGGACACAATGAAAGCAATTTTTAGAGGAGAAAGTATTAAATTATCAAGTAGGAAGTATAAGAATTATAAAGTATAAATAGAGGAAAAGAAGAAATTGATAAAAGAACTGGAAAATAGATTTCTAGAGACTAAGGATAGGAAATTATGGGAGGAACTTAAAAAATTGAAAAATAAACAAATAGCGGAAGATACAGAAATAGTTAAAAAAATTAAGCTATTTAAAAAGAGAATTTTTTGAATATGGTAATAAAAATTCAAAATTATTAGCAAGAATGGCGAAAGATAAAAAAAGAAAAAAGAGAAATAGGTGTCCTAATAGATGAAAAAGGTAAGAGATGTTATAAAAAATTAGAGAAATGTGAAATTGTTAAAAAGTTTTTTCAAGAATTATATCTTAAAAAAGAAATTGATAATTCTAAATTAAAAAATTTCTTAGAAAAATATGGTCAGAAGAAAATTGATAATAAATATAAAGAAAAATGGAAAAGGATATTACCTCTGAGGAAATTAAAGATGTGATTCAGAAGCTAAAACTTGGAAAATCTCCAGGTGAGGATGGGTTACCAGCAGAATTCTATAAAGAGTTTAAAGAAATTTTGATCCCAAAATTACAGATATTGTATAATAAGATATTACATGGAGATGATATTCCCATGTCCTGGAATAGAACAATTATATCCTTAATCCCGAAACCAGGTAAAGATCTAGAAAAAATTGAATCCTATCGGCCCATTTCCTTGATTAACCAAGATGCTAAGATATTTACTGCAATTGTAGCAAATAGATTGAATAATTTTATAGATAAATATATAAACCATAATCAAGTAGGTTTTGTTAAAGGGCGTTATATGTGTGATTTAGTTAGAAGAATATTAAATATTATTGATATTGCTGAGAATAATGGTGATAAGATAGGTATTCTTGCCTTGGATATTTTTAAAGCTTTTGATTCTAAACAATGGGATACTATAAAAGAAATGATTTCTGCATTAGGATTTGGTAATAAATTTATTCATATTATTTCCAAATTGTACCAGAGGGGTACGGCAAGAGTGAAGGTAAATGGTATATTTACACAAGATATAAATTTGGAAGCAGGGACAAGACAGGGTTGTCCTCTGTCTCCGACCCTATTTTTATTAGCAATGGAAATTTTAACAACTTTGATTGAAGAGGATTCAGAATTAATAGGTTATAAAGGCGTCAAAGTTAATTTATATGCAGATGACACTCTTGTCATTTTAAATAATATTACAAATGATATAAAAAGAGTTCAAATACATTTGGAAGAATTTGAAGATATGACTGGTTTGAAAGTAAATTGGGCAAAATCAGAATTATTAATGGAAATTGATAGGGAAAATAAATTAGAAAAATTACAAAATCAATTTGGAATTAGGATAAAGGATAATTTAAGATATTTAGGTATTATACTTTCACTTAAAATTAAAAATTTAAAGAAACTAAATTATGACATAGTAACAAAAGAAATTGAAGAGAAAATTGGGAAACATAAAAAACTCAAGTTATCTTGGTTTGGTAGAGTAGCTTTATGTAAAATGATGTTACTTCCTAAATTTAACTTTTTATTCGAGATGCTTCCAATTTTTTTAACCGAGAAGGACATTGAAGTATATAAAAAAAAATTAGATAAATTTTGTAATGGGGATAAAAAACCAAGACTGATTAAGAAAATGTGGTATCAGAACCAAAAACAAGGTGGTTTAGGAATTCCAAAATTATTAAACTATTATAGAGCATTTAATATAAAAATAGTAGTAAAAATTTTAAAAGGAGATGTTAAACTTTGGGGTAACTTGGAAATGAAGGAAATAAAGAAGTTCGGTTACAAATGGTTTTTGGAAAATTTTAAAGGTAAGGTTAAAATTTGCAATTATTGGTTAAATAGTTTGACTAAAAATTGGGACAGAGTAGCAAAAAAATTAATACCAGACGCATTGTATTTAGGTAAATTGAAAGAGAATTGCCCAATGAAATTAAATAGTAACAGAGAGAGGATTATAATAGAAGAGAAAGTGGAAACAATTAGTGAATGGTTGAAATTTATAGAAAATGAAATGAAGAAAGAGGAAATGTATGGAAAATTAAACATTAATTGGTTTGAAAGAATTCAAATGAATAAATGGAATAGGAAATGCAAAGAAAGGAACGATGAGAGCAGAAAGGAAACGGAATTTGAAAATTTGACATCTCGAATAATAAAAGATGAAATTGGGCCAAAGGGATTAGTTAGTAAAATTTATAAAATTATTAACTCTGATAATAATTCACAAAGGATAATGAAAGAGAATTGGGTAAAAGAACTGGGTATTGAAATTTCTGATCAAAATTGGAATATGAATTGGGTTAGCAGAATAATGAGGACATTATCAATAAGGATTAAAGAACATAATTATAAAGTTATTTGGAAGTGGTATTTGATCCCAATAAGACTTTTTCAAATGGATAATAAACTGGATAAAATGTGTTGGAGATGTAAAGTGGAACTCGGGACATATGCTCATATGTGGTGTAAATGTAATGGGGTTGAACTTTTTTGGTCTAGGATAGAAAATGAAATATTTGAAATAATTAAGAAGAGGGTCAAATTGAAATTGGAAACCATATTATTATTAATATTGAATGAAACAACATTAACAACTGGAGAAAGAGAATTGGTGAGGATTTTGGTTATAATGGGGAGAATTATAATTGCTAGATATTGGAAATTAAATGTTGACTTAAAATTAGAAGAATGGTACAATGAAACATGGAAATTTGCATTAAATGATAAATTGACTTGTGATATTAAAATTAGAAGTGGTATATATAAAGAAAATGTTTTTTGGAACACTTGGCAACCATTTGTGGACTTTGCACTTGGGAGATTGGATGAATCGGCACCAGTACCTTATCAAAGAGATTTTTGGAAGAATTGAAGACTTCAAGTTCCTAAAACTTCCTTTCTGTTTGTATAGCACGTTGGGGGAAAAAAAATTTTTCTTTCCTTACTATTGATTTTTTGTATTGATTTTTTTCTTTTTTGTTATTCCTTAACAATAAAAATATAATAAAAAATTAAAAAAAAATTTAGAAATTAAAAAAAAAAAGGAACCCATAATAGTTTCTTTAAAACTTAAGATATGATCCTCTTCACCTAGCAGCCATTAGCACTTAAAAACAGTTAGACTAGGGTCTTGGCCACCAAAATATTATCCGATTCTATTCTAGAAACATACAGGTTATTGCATTCGCCTGTAATGGTTCGGTAAGGGCTCTTCTCATCACATTCCTTTGTACGGATCTCTTGGGAAGCACATCCAGTTGCCTTGTAGATAGTGTGCATCTGGGAAGGCGAGAGCACATCTGTAGGAAAGCAAAGGGATTTAGACTTCAGGGCCGCAAATTTAACAGAAGAATGCAAGACTAGAATCACTTGCCTTCTGAATTATACTTTAAAAACCGAAAGCAGGATTTATGTTTTGTAAGGATGAGGAAATTCAAAAGGTGAAAGTTTATGGAGAGTCTCAGTTATCCAAGTCATGATTGTCCCAAAGGTGCTATTTCAAAATGTAACTGGACTTCTTTTTTTTTTCTTGAAGATGTTTTGCTTCTCATCCAAGAAGCTTCTTCACTTCTGAAGTGAAGAACTGAAGAACAGAACTGAAGAAAGTTCTTACCAGACAGTCCAGCTGCCTCTTGAAAAAAGCACTTTTGGGAGAATTGAAGAAGCTTCTTGGATGAGAAGCAAAACATCTTCAAGAAAAAAAACACAATGTCCAGCTGCCTTTTTAAAAAAGGACCTTTGGGTCAAAAGGTGAAACATTTTCCTTTTTCAGAGATGTTGGATAGCTATTAAATGCCATTCATAGCAGCTCCAACCAACCATTCTACAGTAATCAGTAATTTACTTAGTGGCTGCATTCCTAAAACATGCTAAACTTGGTACATTTTAACTGTTTTATTTTTTGTGAAGCTTAGCAGGTTATGTGGCTGCTTTAGAAGTCAAGGTATTATGCAAATTCAGAAAATGGGTTAAATAGTTAAGCATGCTGTTCAATAGCAGCCATCTTGAAGTCTTCAAGTCAATCTATTGATCAATGTAGGATCTGCAAAGCAGAATATAAGTATAGCATCTCTGAAGCATGCCTGCTTGGATGGTCCTTAAATGACTTCAAGGTAGAAGAGCCCACCATCACATGATGTTCCATTGATTAGCAGCTCTTATAGGTTTGGGGGGGGTTGTCAGCCCCCAATCTCTTTCTCTTTAATTTCCATCCGTTGAACTGAGTTCTACCTTAGAAACAATTAAGAATACTCTAATCTAGCGTCTACTACCAATTTGAAGATCTTCTTTTCTCTAAATGTAAATATACCCACCCCTTGGGTAATGTTTTTTTAAAATTTGATTTATATGCTGCCCTTCTCCGGAGACTCAGGGCGGCTTACAATGCGTTAAGCAATAGCCTTCATACTTTTGTATATTTATACAAAGTCAGCTTATTGCCCCCACAAACTGGGTCCTCATTTCACCTACCTTTGAAAGGATGGAAGGCTGAGTCAACCTTGAGCCTGGTGAGATTTGAACTTGCAGTAATTGCAGGCAGCTGATGTTAATAACAGTGCTTTAGTCTGCTGTGCTACCAGGGCTCATGTTAATAAATAAGAGTTAATTTTTAACTGCCCACCCTCTTAGCTATTCTTCTCTGGATCATCTCCAGTTTCCCAATGTTCTTCTTAAAATGTAATGCTCTTATAGGCTTTGGTAAAGCACTATAAAAATAATCTTGATATAATTATAGGTATATCAGCATTAAGGTTTCTTTCTGCCATAACTTGCAGATATTTATTTATTGTTTGTTTGTTTATATTTCATATTTCTAAACTGCCCATCTCCCTTAAAGGGGGCTCTGGGCAGTGTTTTAATTCAGTCTCATGCATTGTTATGCAACTGAATCTGTTTACCACATCATAAAAGCTATTGAAAATGATAAAGAAAACAGAAGGGTCTTCCTGTTGCATAGGACGAGATTTGAGGGGGAAAAAACAATCAAAAGCATTCTCTGAAAAGATTTCCCATGAAATTATCATGAAGACAGATGCTTCCATATAAAATATTAGCTTCTTACAAATAATCATTATTCATGTCTTCTTTGGTTGCCCCACCCAACCATCAACTGACATCTAACATAAAATGATTAAATTCTTAGATAAAAAAAACATTTCTCTCTTGCTTCCTCTTTGAAAATGATTGGACAAGAAACGTACATGTACTCTGCGGTCAAAATGAATGGGTAAATCTGTCAATTCAGTTTCTTCTCAGTTCCTCATATTTGGTTCATCTTAAGACTTCTACAAGTTTGAGATTTTTTTTAAAAAAAAATAGATTGCAGGCATCTTTTAAAGTATCTTTGCGCGTTTTTCCAAACTGTACAGTTTTGACAAATGCACATTGTTTTTGCAAAGCTTCTCCTAATAAATCTGTATCTATCTTTCCAGGAATGGGTGTATTTCCCTTCACGTAGGTTTATTCTCCACTAGGGAAACTGCATTGCAAGAAGTAGAGAAGAGCAAATGTTAAAGCACAACCTACTTTCCATGAGATGGTAATGCGTGAGGCTGCATGCTTATGAGGACCATTTGATATTTTAAAAGCTTACACTATCAACACTGGGGTTGGAGTTTTCAAATTGAAACACTCAGCATTAGCATTAGTTTTGATCTGCCTGTGACAAGCTAAGTTATTGCAGAGGTTATTTTATTTATTTATTTATTTATTTATTTATTTATTTATTTATTGTCATATTTATATGCCACCCTTCTCCCGAGGGACTTGAGGCGGCTCACAAAATAAGCAATCCAACAATAAATAGAATTAAAATTGTTACAATCCAATTTAAAACCCCAAATCCCCAAATTAAAATACACGGCAGATCAGGGAATTTGCTGAAAGAGCCATGTCTTTAGGTCGGCGCGGAAGGTGCAGAGGTCGGGGGCCATCCGGAGCCCAGTGGGTAAACCATTCCAGAGGGTCAGTGCGACCACAGAGAACGCCCTCATCCTGGGGGCCACCAGCCAACACTGTCTGACCGATGGGACCCGGAGGAGGGCAGTCCTATGTGAGCACACTGGGCGGTGGGAGGCCGGTAGGAGGTGGTCCTGCAAGTACCCCAGGCCCATGCCATGAAGGGCTTTATAGGTGAGCACCAGCACCTTGAAGCGGATCCGGAGGACCACCAGCAACCAATGCAGCTCGCGCAACAATGGTGTTGTAACGGGAAGCAACCGTAACTACCCGTGCGGCCACATTCTGGACCAGTTGGAGCCTCTCGGTGCACCCCAAGGGCAGCCCCATGTAGAGGGCATTGCAGTAATCCAGCCGAGAAATAATGAGAGCATGAGTGACCGTACAGAGGGCATCCCTATTTGCACATCAGGTTATAATGTGCAAATAGCAAAGAATGTAAATTAAGCATGGAAGAAAACCCAGCATTTTATTTCCCCTACTTTTGGTTACTTTTTGGTTACTTTTTCCTGCCCACCTAGCAGTTCAAAAGCATGCAAATGCAAGTAGATTAATAGGTATCACTTTGGTGGGATGGTAACAGTATTCTGTCCACTTTTGGCGTATAGCCATGCTGGCCACATGACCACAGAAAATGCCATCAGACTATGCTGGCTCCCTTGGCCAAGAAACGGAGATGAGCACTGTGCCCTAGAGTTGAACCCGCCTGACAAGGAAAACTTGACCTTTACTTTTGGTTAGTGTATTAGTTCAAAGTATGCAAAATACCTGTGATATTGAATTCCTGAGGAAATACATCCTGTAGCTTCTCTTTCAAGAGGTCCAAGGTCACCAGCATATAATGAGCAGCTTTCACATGCAACCGAGTTTTTCCTATAGGTTGTTTGAAAGACACTAGGATTTCTGAAGGGCGTACTGTCTCTTTCTTTAGTTTTTCTTCTAACCTGGTGAATCGGAAAACACATAAATCAAGAATGCAGAATAAAAGTCCCCCCCGCCCACCGCAAAGTGTATGTTACAATGACAAAGCCAAGGATGCTAACTTGAGAGGCGGAGACTGTTTTGTATCATCTAATGAAGTCTAGGGATGAACTATACCTCCATAATCCTAATCGAATACTTTACATTTCTTCATGTTAATCATTCGCCCTTTGATTTCATCCCATTGGTTAAAATGAATATTATCACCTTGATTTTGTAAGGCTTCTGTGCCCTTAATGACGCGCAGGCAGGCAAACGGTATGCCTGTTGGTATTTTAATTCCAATTGTATACTGCCAAATCAATTCCATACTGTGAGATTTTCAATCACAATGAAAAATAAAAACATCCACAATTCAAAAGCCGCAGCAAAACATGTAGAATGAAGCAGGGGTGAAATCCAGCAGGTTCTGACAGGTTCTGGAGAACCGGTAGCAGAAATTTTAAGCAATTCAGAGAAACAGGAGCAGAAATTTTGATAGTTCAGAGAACCAACAAATACCACCTCTGGCTGGCCCCCAAGTGGGGTGGGAATGGAGATTTTGCAGTATCCTTCCCCTGCCACGCCCACCAAGCCATGCCCACCAAGTCACCCCCACAGAACCAGTAGTAGAAAAATTTGTATTTCACCACTGGAATGAAGATATGGGATGAAAACAGGAATAGCTAAACTACTGAATCAGTTTGTAACTGGCAGAAATATCCATGTTTTCCAAATGAAACAACATGGCACATTGCCTGAATTTTTGTCTGAACATTCACACAGAGAAGTCATCTAGCAAACAACGCAGCAAATCTTCATCAAACAGAGCAGACGGGAAAAGGCAAAAATAAACCTGGCTTCAGGAATCTTTGTGCAAAATCTTACCAGTTCTGGGTGTATTCATAGGCAGCATCAACTAATTTCTTGGCTTCTTCCACATTCTGCAGAAGGAATTGAGGTTCCAGTTTCTTTGCTGTGTCTAAAAGAGACACTTGGTTTGGATTTTGTTGAAGGAGACACTTCAATCAAATCCCACAAAAACAAACTAATGAGAATATAGCTTCCCTAACCTGGTCCCTAATCTGGATTCCAAAAGTTATATTCCAGCATATCTAGAAGCCATCATCTTTGAGAAGCCTGTTGTAAGATCAGTGGTATATTTCGTTAAGTACCGTAATTGTCTATTAAAATTGACTCTATGCTCACACAGTACTTTAAACCTTGTCAGTTACTAATGTTATGGATGGGTACCTGAGATCTACCAGGAAAAGCTTACACAAGTCATGGCTGTGTAAAAGGTTGTTTAGGGGCAGGGTCTCCAACCTTGGCAACTTTAAGCCTAGAGAACTTCAATTCCCAGAATTCTGACAGTGCATATCTCTTGGTGGCCCTTCTCTATACCGTGGTACCACCAAAGATGGAATAGATTCTAAGCATGAGTGTCGATGGAGGGAATGTGTGACGGCCCATGTGTCATATGCTTTCATGCCAGTGATGCAAATTATATACAGCATTCACGTGATATGGCATGTATCAATTCCATCATTGTCACAGAGGTGCTGTTATGCACAGACATCATCCTGGCAACTATTAGAAACGTCTGCTTCCAATGAGAGTTGTCTGTAAGGGAGATCAAAATAATCAAGATAGCAGCCACACAATTGGAAATTGACTTCTACAGGTCTTACAGCCACCACAGTTCAGAAATACTGCCTTAGGGATATTTGGCAGACTTTTGAGTGTCCACCAATAAAGGAAATACAGACTGAATTTCTGCATCACTTCAAATGTTAGCAGACTATGATCTTGGGTTGTTTTTTTTCTGCTGTAAGTGAGTTGTTCACACTGAGGCAATCAAAAACACTTGGAAAACGGCATTTGTTCCTGCAGCTTGTTCTTAAATGACGAACTGTTTAGGCTGCATTTTTACAAGAAGCGGGGACACATGCAGACCTCTACAGACACTTCAACTCAATTTTAACAAGTGGTTCTAAAGTGAAAGGCCTTACCTTGCAGAGAAAGGTTATCTGCCTCGTGAAGCTTTACTGCTATTAGAATACCCAGAAGAACAAAGAACAGCCTTAGGCCTTGAAGAAAGCAAAGGTTTGATATGAGTTACTTGCAAATCATTTGGGAAAGTAATCTTTAATTGTCAAACTGAATTTTAATACAAATTTAGAATGTCAGAAGCCAGTTACTCTAGAGTCTAGATCCGGGATCTGCAACCTTAAACACTCAAAGAGCCATTTGGACCCGTTTCCCACAGAAAAGAAAACACCGGGAGCCACAAAACTCTTCCCGTGCCTGACTATTTCTTGAGCGGCCACAAAACTAGCCTATGTAGTTGAATTAAACAGTCTGTTTTCTCCTGAAACTTTTCTTTTCTTGGATTTATCCATGGTTGGCCTAACAGGGGTTGAAAAGCTTAAAAAAATCACGTGCCAGCGGGTGTCGCACATTGGCGATTGTGATGCATATTTTGAGTGACAGGGAGCCGCAGCAGAAGGGTGAAAGAGCCACATGCGGCTCCAGAGTTGCAGGTTGCTGACCCCTGGTCTAGATCCACAGACTTGGACAGGACAATGTCTGGGTATAAAAATGCTTGTCCTAGATCTGGAATTTTCTTTCCTTCCGCCATTCTAGAGCTACCACAATTGGGCTGGAAAAATCTAGATCATCCATAGGTGATAGCAAACGGGGCGGGCACCCTATTTTCTCTAGCCCAGGTAGTGTAATTATATCCCTCTTGAAAAAAAACTGAAATAAAAATCCCCATCCCCATTTATAAAAACACAAATGCCACAATTGTATTATATATGTTTTGCTTGTTTCCCTTCCTTCTGTCTTTCTTTCAATCTCTGTCCATTGTTTCTGCATTCAATAGCAAGGGGGAAAAAATCAGTTTATGTACATTAAAGTGCATGCTTGATTTACTCTATTTCTCCTTCCTCTTTGCCCCCAGACATATGACAGAGAAAATACCCAAAGTTGTTGAAATCACTGCCATGGGAACTAAACTTTGAATGACCATGAAACAGATCACAGCAATTGAAAAAGAAGAAGAAAATTCTAGGGCTGGCGGACGTTTGGGGCCCTAAAAGATTCAGAGTAAATGCATTCCTCAAAATAGAGGAAAGCTCTGTAAGAGAGTCATTTTGGGGACAGCAGCTGTCAATCACAGTCACATCCAGAAGAGCATGCTGTATATGCAATTTCTTAGTTCTAGATCATTTCTGCATTAATGGTGTAGAACAGAGTGTCAAACTCGCAGCGTCACATAACATATCATGACTTTTGCCCCCTTTGCTAAAATGGGGGTGGGCATGGCGCATCTGGGCCGTGGGCTGCAAGTTTTATACTCCTGGTGTAGAACATTTTCATAGCCTCACCCAACCAAGGTTGAAGTCAAGTAAAGCTCTGTCCACAGTTACAATTATTGTGAACCAATTATGATAGGATGACTACCAATGATGGTAGGAGGAGCTGTCCTGACTCACCTTGTAGGGGGAAATGGACAGCTTAAAAATTTAATGAATAGAACAAATGACTGCAGCTGTCACTATAAATTGCTATTAGACAAAAGAGTGAGTCATGTTATTTAGCCATAAAACTATCAAGGAATGTTACATTGTTCTTCAAGAACAGAATGCAAAGTTCCTAAACCTAAGCTAATCGTGCCAAAGGAAAAGTTAAATATAGAAAGGTTTTTGTTATACACTAGAAATCTCACTCTGGAAATATTTAAAATATTAAGGTATAAAGTGTTAATATGATCATCACAAAAATAAATAAATATTCACAAAAGCTTGAAATACAAGGTAGTTAAGCCTTATTGGTTCTATCCTATTAGTCAAACTTAGATAAAACTCAAAAGCCTGCAATCAGCTCTGATTGAGCAAAGCTGATGCCGGGAGGAGGGTAGAGGGAAGAGACTTCTTTTTATGCTGTCACTTAAAGATGCAATGGTTCTGCTTCCCACTGTAGATTTCCTAATCAAAACAGAACGACTTTATCCAATGTGATGCTCACCAGATACACTGAATTACAATATGCACTATTTCTTATCTATCCGAATAGGAGCTGTAATCTAACATATCTGATGGCCCTCCAGTTGAGGAAGGCTGAAATAGGGAATTTCACTAGTTAAGGAGAGCTAATGTAAAATGAAAGGAATGGAGAACACTCAAGTCCATCAGGTAGTTTCTGAGCAATGCACTAAGATAATTAATTTTAAGAAGGATTTCAAAATCACTTACTTGCCATCTTCTCCAGTTCTGACCTTAGATGCCTGGAAATCAACTATTTTCTAGAAGATGGGAGGGACCATTTACAGAAGAAAAGTCACACCCCTTTTCTTTTTCCCTCCTTTTTAAGACACATCCTACCTACTGATAATGCTCTGAAAATGTAGAAGAATCATACAGCAGCTTTCCTGGGGTTTTAGATCTTGTCTACAAAAGTCCAGAGGACTAGTGGAAGAAATCAATTTCTCAATTCTCTGCATTTTTGCTACTACGGTGGTCCAGAATTTTGCAAGCCAGATTTGGTGTCCTACTTTTCCACAACCTGACATGCTTTTGATGTGTTGCAACCCAAATGCTTCTGCAAAGTAACTGGTAGGCTTTGGGGGAACAGAGCAACAACTCCATTCAACTCAAGATACTTTGTCTTGAAGAGCAGCAAGAACCTGCTTGAGAATCTATGGGAGAGACAGAATCAAGTCACGGGCAGAGCATGGGAGACATTGGGAAGTTGGGTTTGAGCCAGTGGTGAAATCCAAATTTTTTTACTACTGCTTCTGTGGGCGTGGCTTGGTGGGCATGGCAGGGGAAGGATACTGCAAAATCTGCTCAAAATTTCTGCTACCGGTTCTCCAGAACCTGTTAGAACCCACTGGATTTCACCCCTGGTTTGAGCTATCAAAAGCGAAGATAAATTGTTCTGCAAGGTCAGGAGAGGGATGCTGTGTGAATTGGAGGAACCCCGTCAAGAACAAAAACAAACAAACAAAAAAAAAACCTTTAAATGTGTGTAACGTGATATTTTATGTTTAAAAATACATAGATTCTTCCATACTCATCACATTAGTCCCTTTTGGGGAAGCAACTTTATGCAAATCTTAGAAAAAGAGCAAGATATAATGGACAAATAAAATAAAATAAAGGCAGGAGATGAAAAAAATGGAAACCTAAATGTAGTTCATGCCAACACCATTTATTATTCTTCTTCATACCTTTCTATCATTGTTTCCACTCATTCCTATAGACCACTCCCCACATTAACATCTGTTCTTTAAACATCTCACCTCTCTTTTCCAGCATCATGTCCATCACATGCAACCATGATCTTCCTTTTTCTCTCAACCCATTTCCTCTTTCTTCATATATTTGTTTAACATTTTGATCCTTATTAACACTCTTTCTGACCAAGCCATCTCAATGTAAAATATTTCTTTCTTTTGTATTCTATCCACATTTATTTATCAGCCACACATTCTAATGTTGACCCTACCTCTTCTTGCTTTATCACATATATTTTTTGAGTATTTATTCAAGTTACCATTATGTTTCTTTTGACATGTCTAACTTTCACTTCCTTCTGGGCAAAAGGACACAGTTATGCACAGCTCCACAATGCATTGGACTATAGAATACCCATTACGGTTCTGCCGGCATTTGCATGTCATAGCATTTCTCCATCTATTTTTTTTTCCCAGTCAACCCTGGTCTTTGACACATTGACTTTCAGATCCATATTCCTTGTTACTTGCTTGATATTTGCAGCAAATAATTCAGATTCTCAGTCAACAATGCAACATAACCTGTGTATAAAAGTACACACAGTCACAGCCCCAATCAAAGTTATTGCAAATATTCCTCCTTCATTTGTCCATAAATATATAAGTTCCATAAACAAAGGAACTTCTTACATATTTATCCTATTCCCTGTTATTCCACTCTTATTTCATTCCATTCCATTTATACTCATACATCCTTTATTTCCACTAGATAAATCATGTGCTATTAAATCAGTGTTGATTTAATCTGACCCTTCAGGTCTCCCAATGGTGCATGCTGTGAGTAAGTCCATTTTTCTCAGCTGCTATTCATTCTCTTTTGTTCCACATTTTCTACCATTATGAAAGGTGCTTTTCCAAGAGGCAACTGGACTTTCTGGTTTTTCTTTGAAGATGTTTCGCTTCTCATCCAAGAAGCTTCTTCAGCTGTTCTTGGATGAGAAGCGAAACGTCTTCAAAGAAAAAACAAGGAAATCCAGTTGCCTCTTGAAAAAGCACCTTTGGGATAACCATGACCTGGATGAATGAGAATCTCCATAGACTACCATTATGAACTTGTCAAAGAATCTGGTCTTCACATAATGTGTCCAAAATGTTGAGCCTGGTCTTTTGTGCCTCAAATGAGAACTCTGAATTTATTGGATCTATGATGCATTAATTTGTTTAACGTTCTATAATGCATTAATTTGCATGGCATATGCATGGCATTCCCACTGGCTCCCTTTCAATCAGGTTCAGAACAGATTTTTGATGTTCTCCTTGATGTTCTCCTTGAAAATTAGGGATACGGTCAAGAATTTATTGTGGAAACCGGTTGTCTTCATTCTGCTTTAGTTTGACTTGAAGTTGCACACAAGCAGTTTGTTCTCCGCAATCAGTTCCTGGCCACACCTTGTTGTTATGTCTGAGCTCTTCCACCTCTTTGTATCCGTTTATTTTATTTGTTTTTATTTATTTATTTATGATTAAACTTAATCTCACCACCCATCTCACCAAAGGTGACTGATAAACAAGTTAATTTTATTTCTTGTGCTGTCTGGTGACATCTATGTACTGTATTATTGATGTTATTTTGGTTGTTTGAAGACTGTTTGCCGGGAAGAAAATATTGGATCGGCAGAGACAAATAGGTCCTTTTCCTGTTTCATTTCGATTTCCTAGGCCGCAAGGTCCAATCCTGTTATATATAAAGTCCTTAAAGCAATCAGCTCCAAACTTAAATTTCATATTTGCAAACAATATTTCCAAACTAGATATTTCATGTTATCCAAACTGGCAAACATTCTATCTTTACTAAACCTTCTTTTTTCCACTCATACTTTTCTCAATGATTTGTTGCAAAGAAAGAATCTAGTCTTTTAACAGATTAACAGAGTTGGAAGGGACCTTGTAGGTCATTTAGTCCAACCCCCCCACCCAAGCAGGAGACCCTACACCCGTGATGGCGAACCTATGGCACGCATGCCACAGGTGGCACATGGAGCCATATCTGTGGGCATGCAAGAGTTGTCCTAGCTCAGCGCCAGCTGATTTTCAGGCCTTCTGGGCCCACCGGAAGTCGGGAAATGGGCCATGTTCAGCCTCCGGAGGGCCTCCAGGGGAATGGGGAAAGCCGTTTTCACCCTCCCCAGGCTCCAAGAAAGCCTTTGGAGCCTGGGGAGGGCAAAAAACAGGCTTCCCGGGCCCACCGGTAACCTTTTTGCTGTCACGTGCTAAAAGGGGGGGAGCGCAGGGGGATCGTGCGCGATGCGTGGGGCCCAGGGGGGCATTAAATTATGGGTGTGGGCACACGTGCACGCGACCCTCCCATGCTCTCCCCACTTTTGGCACGCAACGGTAAAAAGGTTAGCCATCGCTGCCCTACACCATTTCTGACAGATGGCAGTCCAGCCTCTTCTTGAAAGTTCCCAATGATGCACAGTCTGCACATTCCCTGCTCAAAGTAGAGATTCACTGAACTTCTGATTTTTACTCTGTGTCACGTCTTGTACCCTTTCAGTCAGAATTCTGCATTCTACTTAGAAAAAAACTAATCCTCCTATAGTTTTTACATTCACTGCTATAAAGACTGCATCTGAAAGGAAAAGATCTAGTATGAAAAATGCATTGTGGGATTGCTGTACATGCTTGCCCCTTTCATACGTGCATCACAACATCACACATATAGAGTGTGGAGTTTGTTGTGGGATATCCCAATGCCTGCTAATTGAAAACAATTTCTAGATTCTGCAGAAATCACTGTTTCTTTCTCTTTGAATACCACAATAATGGTATTCTTCCAATTGTTAGTCATGGAGGCAGCTTTCGCACGTTGCCCAGCATAAAACAGATGCTAGATTTTCTTTGTTTCTCTTAATTTTAACTAGTTCTTATCCCTTTGACTACTGGTTTTAGAATTATTTTTTTCTTCATATAAACATCGTATAGTATTGTCAGAAGAATAATTTGGGGTCCGGACTTGAGCCGGGGATGTGTAAGAATAAATAAAAATGAGATCCGAACAGCTGTGAGGAAAGAAGAAATATTTATTTCTAAAAGCAAATAGTTTGCCTTTAGGGGCAGCTGCAGAGAAATGGGGTATAGTGGCAGACTTTTATAGGGAGAGCTTGTCCAGGGAGTAGAAGTGTCTATGTGCTGATTCTAAGGTGACACTTGAGGGGTGCATGTGTGTGTAGGTATGTATTCTTGTGAAAATGCAGTTCTGCTGGGAAACCTAATTTAATTAACTCTATTGTGTTTGCAGACCTTATCCTTTGATATGTAGATTAGATCTGGGTAACTTATTTGAAAGTTTGAGGAAGTTTGAGTAAAGGATTTTCCCCATTTGCTATTTTTACTTCATTAGTTTCAGTTTGACTGCCAATTATCTAGTGGAGACGCTGATTCCCAGACCATTGCGGATTCTGTTAGTATCTTTCTCACACTTATATGCATTTTTCTCATCCCCAGCTTCTGTCACATTAGCATTCCAGTTTTACAGACTGAACTCTTTCAGACTTCCAATTAATATCTTTCTATACATTTCTTTAGTACTCTATAATAATAATCTGTTTCAAACACTTAAAGATCCTTGTTTCCTATGCCCTACTTTTTCATGTGCCACTCTTGTTTCCTTTTCCTCTAGTCATTCTATATTTACTCTAACTTTTCCTCCCACTTCTTTCCTTTTCTTTCAATTTTTACTTTGAACCAGTCTTGGCCCCCACCAAGAAAATGTCCTAAATCAGATTACCATAGCATCTTCTACTCATTCTCTCGGTTTTTCTTCATAAAGACAATAATAGTTTTAGATATATGTGCACTCTTTTCTAGTAGATAGACAAATAAATATTATTATTATTATTATTTATTGAAATATGCTTAAACTGTGCAATTGTCAGCTTGATTAGATAAGCAAACATGATCAGATAAGCTAATTCTACTTTGTTATTGAGCTACATTAACAGAATTTTGCAAGTTTAAAAGTATTTCTCTATCCCATCCTCCTTATAGCCCCTATATTAGGGAGGGTTTCTTCTGAGCT